ATCCGTTCATAAATCAATTATTTATTCATCATCCTCTTATTCATCTACCATCCATCTTTATCAATACTGAAGTAATACATTCATTCATTCATCATTCATTATCTGTTCATTTGTCCATATTCATCTTTACTACTATAGAACTAATAATAAATTCATCCATTCATACATAATTAATTCCTTCATTCGTTCATCCATTTGTGTACCATTCATTTTCAACAATGCATAGATAATACATTCATCCACTGATACATCATTCATTCATTATTTCAATTATTCGTTCATCCATCATCCATTCATTCATCTATTAATATCTTCTATATTGATCTTCTATGTAGAAGAGATACATTATCCATTTATATATTATCCATTCATTCATTCACCCATCCATCCATACATTATTCATTCAGGTAACGGATAACAATTCATACATCATTCAGGCAGTTATTCATTTATTTATTCATTTATTCATTCACCTACCATGTCTATATGCATGAAAAATTGCATATAGAGGTAATAATACATTCATTCATGTACCATTCATCTCCATCAATGCAGAGGTAATACATTCATCCATATATATATATATATATATATAAACAATAAAGTATTCAGAGCTCAGATATTTACAAGAATTACATTATGGTCTATTTGAACTAAAGGCATTATTAAAGAGTAATAAATATATAATAACACTGTTTTGTTTGTACCATTGTTCAGTGTTTATTTTCATCTTTTTGATCTGTTAAAGCTGAGCATTTGTGTATCTACAGGATCTGGCCGGTACTCATCGCTGCCTGCTGAAGGAAGTGCAGAGTTCCATATCAACGTACGGTGCAGAAAACCTCTTCCAGGTTTTCATCGATTACAAGGAGAAGTGAGCACATCTCTGGGCTGTTTTTATTTAGTGCACATTTTATTTTAGTTTGACTGTTGATAGAAACATCTGTAAACCTTTCAGATCTCTGAACACATTACATGTTAAAATTCATACACTGTTTATTTGTTGGAATTTCGTTTACAAGAGATTTAGGTGTTGACCTGTGTAACACTTTGAGCCTGTGTGTAATTAGTTATTGAACAGTAGGCTCCACCCACTCGATCTGATTGGTCGATTAGAGCTGGTGTATGTGATTGCAACACCTTTTGACACCAAACATTCTTTATATCATTCCATGGATCAGTGTGTTTTAAATAACATCAATGGTTGCTTCACTCTAAGTGGCTGGAACTACTTTTTTTGGCAGAAGAAATTGTTAATATTAAAAATTATGTTTTATTTTTAAGCATTATTTGCTTTACTTTTGATGTCATTTATCATAAAGTATTGCTTCTCCTCTTCCTTTGTTCCAAACAGAACATCATTATTTTGTAAATTTCTTTGCACATCGTTATGTTTTTGAATAATCTTTACAGGTTGCTGCTGTACGGCCGGTACTGCAGTCAAGTGGAATCTGCCACAAAACACCTGGACAAGATCGCCAGCATGAAGGAGGACGTCAGAATGAAACTAGAGGTACAGATGCAAAACACACACAGAAACCACGCGCAGTCTCACTCAAACATCCCCACACACCTGTTAGCGTGGGCTTGAATGCATGCAGTAATTAGTGCCCTTCCCGCCCCCCCTTCACCACAGGAGTGCTCTATGAGAGCCAACAGTGGGCGATTTTCACTCAGAGACCTGCTGATGGTGCCCATGCAGAGAGTGTTAAAATACCACCTACTGCTGCAGGTAACACGCACATAACCACATGCACACACAAAACCACATACACACACAGCCACATCTACACAAACAACCGCAATATACACACAATCACACAGTCTATGGCTAATTTGAGTCTCGAGTGTCAGAGGTGAGAGTCCAAGTCGAATCTGGAGTCGGGTTATGAGTCAGAGACAAGTCCAGTGGTCTTTATTGTCATTCCTCAAAATAACTACACAAGACAATAATACTAGACAGGACAACAAAACAGTATAGCGCTGTTGTCAGAAGAAAATCTCATATCTCCAAAAAAGCTAACTTTACAGGAGAAGGAGAAAACATACTTTACTTTTAATGTAAGTCAATGGAACCAAATTTTTTGTCCAAGTCATTTTGGGCTGTTTATTTTAGTCCATTCTTCATGAAATTTACACACAATGTAAAGAGCAACAGGCATTTTTGGATCATGCCGAAAACTGATAAACGACAAAAACTGAAATATGAGGTTTTCTTCCGACAGCAGCAATGTATGGGCATCATATGTGGCTACCACTTGCTCTGGTACATAGAAGATGCTCTAGAGGCCTGGTATGCAGAGCTGTGCTGTGCACCCCAACCCCTCTACCAAAGGCCTGTTAAATGTTGTTGTTTGTATGGTTAATGTTGTTGTTCCTTAGTTTAAGGGTGTATGATTTGTGGGTAACGCTTTATTCGGATAGTCTGCTTTAGATACTTTGTAGATGCTTAATTTACTTTCAAGTTACATTCAAATAAATATCTTTTAAATTGACCACAATTAGCTTCAACTCTAAATCTGCTCTAATCCTAAACCTAGCCCTAACCGCAATCCAAATCCTAACAGTAGTTTAAGTTACACTTATTAGTCCCACAACGGCGAAATTTCACCTCTGCATTTTAGCCCATCCATGCAGTGAAACACCACATACACACTAGGGGGCAGTGAGCACACTTGCCCAGAGCAGTGGGCAGCCCTATCCGCAGTGCCCGGGGAGCAGTTGGGGGTTAGGTGTCTTGCTCACGGGCACTTCAGTCATGTACTGTCAGCTCAGGGGATCGAACCGATGACCTTCTCTTCACAAGGCTCGTTCCCTAACTTCCAGCCCATGACTGCCCCTAACCCTAACTCCACCACTGTTTAGAATCAACTGACTTTCAACAGATAGTTTGTGAACAATTTGAACATCTGTAGATAATCTATAGTGCACTATCCAAATAAAGTTAGACCTATTTTTGTTATTCTGTGTCAGTGAGTGGGTTTAGTTAGAGTTGGTTTGTGTCCTATAGCTTTGCCCAGCTGTTATTTGCCTTTTTTGCTGGTGTTAATAAGAAGCACTTCTCGTAGCAAAAATCATGTATATATTCACACACATATATATGCATGGATTGGCATTAAGCAGCAGATGAGTGATAAAGGAAGTAGTGCAAAAATGTCAACTGTAAATTGCACAGACGGATTGAGGTCTCATAGCAGCTTTCAAATAGTTATGTAATAATAGTTAAAGTACCGGTGTGCAGTGATGGTAAAGGGGTGCATGATCAGTCTAGGATGAATGTTGGAAAGGGTCTAGATTAGCCCAGCTGGATGTTGGTGGGCATCAGTGTGTCAGGGAAGAAGCTGTTGCAGAACCTGGAGGTGGTGGAATGGATGCTCTGGTACCTTCTGCCAGATGGCAGGAGGGTGAAGAATCCATTCATTCAGGTTTGTTCACAATGCTGGCGCTTGTGGTAAGAGGTATTGGTGGTGGGTAAAGACTTGATCGCTGTTGTCCTCACAATCCACTGTAAGGTCCTGCAGTCTGAGATGGTGCAGTTCCTTTACCACACAGTGAGACAGCTGGTCAGGACACTCTCTACTGTCCCTCTGTAGGATGTAGTGAGGATAGAAGGTTTGCTCTCTTCATCCTCTACAGGAAATGAAGTTGGTGCTAGGCTTTCTTGGCCAGGCAGGTGGTGCTGAGGGTCCAGGTGAGGTCACTGGTGATTTGCACATCAAGGAAATTGAGAGTTTTTAACTCTCTCCCCAGTGGAACCATTGATGTGCAGAGGAGAGTGATCACCATGGTTCCTCCTGAGGTCATCAATCATCTCTTTCATCTTATCAACATTAAGAGATTAAAAGACTGCAACCCGCTCCACCTCCTCCCTGCATGCTGACTCGTCAATGTTGCTGATAAGACCCACCACTGTAGTGTTTTCAGCAAACATGAGGATGTGATTTGAGCAATGCTGTGCAGCACTCATGAGTCAGCAGTGGGAAAATCAGGGGCTTGAGGTGTTATTGCTAACCCTGAGGTCTCCCAGTCAGGACGTCCAGGATACAGTTGCAGAAGGAGGTGTTTAAGCCCATCAAGCTCAGCTTTCCAATAACTTGCTGTGGGATGATTGTGTTGAATGCTAAACTGAAGTCTTTGAACAGTATTCTCATATAATTTTCTGTCCAGGTGAGTCAGTGAGAAATAAAAGGCAGAGGATATGATGTCCTCTGTAGGCCAGTTAAGGCGATACATGGTTAAGGTGATGCATGGACAGTGATACATGAACAGTTGTCCGGTTGTCCTCAGTGTGGAAGGAAGACTGCTCTTTGTGTTTCCTTACCAACCACTTAAAGCGCTTCATGATAATGGGAATGAGCACTATGGGGTCTAATGTCAATGAGGCAAGACACAGTAGATTTTTTCAGCAAAGGGATGATGGTAGTTGTTTTGAAACACTCCAGGACAACTATCTGGCTTAGAGAGATGTTGAAGATGTCAGTTAGGACATTCGCAAGCTGGGCAACACATCCCCTGAACATCTGGCCAGGTATGTTTTCAGGGCCAACAGCCTTCCGAGGGTTAACTCTGGAATATGTAGTCCTAACATCTAGACTAAGACTAAGGCCCAACCCCGTTTCACCCCTTGCCCCACCACTGATCCCTTAGCCCTCTGTTTAGCGTGTTCACGTCTAGGGTTAGTGTGTCCCAATTTTTGTTGAGATAGAGGGGTAGGGTGAAGTGTTTGGGCTACATGGCCCTCCAAACAGAGGTTTTTCAGAGGCTCCAAACAGAGAGTTATGAGGAACAAATGAAAAACCAGCAAGATGGCTGCGCGAGCGACCAAAGAAATACAGAAATGTGAGAATTTTCTTCATTAAAATATTACGATAACCACTGTATTATCTTAGTTTAATGTTGTTTCAGTGTATTATGGTCTTTTTCTTTGTAACAAGCATAAAAAAATCGCTAATAGCATGCTAATGTCTTGGTAGCTAGCTAATATTCCCATTCCTCCTTAAATAGTCCAGCAGTTCTGACGCATGAAGCGCCAGAATGTAACTGCAGCTCCATTCAAGGTGGAACGGGAAAATTCAAACAAGAACCTGGTGAATATCTGACTTCAGCTTCATATCATCAATGAATTTGGGATGGGCGATAATAAATAATTGCCCCTCTTTGAAAGCGTATGATGCCCTACATGTAACTAAAGCCCAGCAGTGAGGAGCTGAACTTTTTCCTTCTCTCCTATCACTGAATTCAGGCCGGGTCACCTACAGAGCAGTGCTAGTAGCCTGTTTATGAAGCAATGTTGGTTTATTTATTTTTTATTTGAGGGTCCCATTTTGTAGGGCAAGATTTCAACCACTACCCCTTGTAACTCTGTTCCAAGGAGTTAGGGTGACACTTGAAAACAAGCGGTGGGGTAAAAAGAAGAAATGGGATTGGGCCTAAGACTACTTGGTTGGTTTGATGAAGGGTGATCTTCCTTGCTGACTGGTTATTCTGTTCTTCAAACCATACATAGAAATCCTTCAGTGTGTCTGGGAGTCTATTACAAGTATATGATGTCACTTATGCCGTGTGTCTCTGGTGTCTAGAAAGCATCCATATTTTCTCTGTGCATAGTTTCATTGTTGTGCTTTGCTTCTTTGATAGCCTGGGTCAGGTTGGCTCTTACTCTGCTGAGAGTTGCTAGCCTGTTGCCTGACTTGAAAGCAGCATTCCAGGTGGTCAGCAAGGTTTTCCACAAGTCTGAGTCAAGTCTTGAGGCTCTGGTTATTGCGAGTCTGACTTGAGTCAAGTCTCTGGGATTTAAGTCTCAAGTCACTGTGGTGCAGGTACAAGTAGAGACTCAAGTCTCTGAGATTCACCTCTTTAGGCAGTGAGATGCAAATTCAATTCACATTTCAAGTCTTTGAGAATTGAGTCTTGAGTCACTGAGGTGTCCAAATTGAGTCTAAGTCTCTGGAAAGTGGGTCTGATTCGAGTCTTGAGTGTCTGAGTTGTGAGTCTGATAAGAGTCTGGAGTCTCTGAGATGTGAGTCTGATAAGAGTCTTGAGTCTCTGAGATGTGAGTCTGAGTCTTGAGTCTCTGAGATGTGGGTGTGAGTCGAGCCTCTAGTCTCTGAAATGCGAATCTGAGTTGAGTCTTGAGTCTCTGGTTTTGGGAGTCTGACTTGAGTCAAGTCTTTGAGATTCAAGTTTTTAGTCACTGAGGTGTAAGTCCGAGTTGAGTCTCAAGTCTCTGAGATTCAACTCTGGAGTCAATGAGATGCGAATCCAATTCAAGTTTTAAGTCTTTGAGATTTGAGTCTCGAGTCTAAATCGAGTCTAAGTCTCTGGAAAACAAGTCTGAGTTGAGTCTCGAGTCTCTAAATTGTGAGTCTGAGTCGAGTCTTGAGTCTCTGTCATATGAGTATATGTCTTGAGGCTCTGCAATGTGAGTCTGAGTTGAGTCTCTGATTCTGAGTCGAATCTCGAGTCCCTGGGTTGCAAGTCAGTTGAGGATGTGTCTGAGTCAGGATTTAGCTAACGTGATTCCAGTACAACTTTAGTCTCCAACTCAGGAAAAAACACGCATATGTACAAACAACCATACACTTGTACTCCCACCACACACTAATACTGGTATAAACACACACACACACACTGTACTGTGTATAAATGGTGTTTGTTTTGTCAGGAACTGGTGAAACACACCGTTAGTCCCACAGATAAGGAGAACCTGCGCACTGCACTGGATGCCATGAGGGTGAGAATGTGTTTGATACATTTACACAACCGTTCAAAAGTTTGGTATCACTTGCTGTATGAGTATTTTTGTTATTGTACATACAATAATAACATTCAAATACTATAAACTACTCACCCAAAGGTATTGTTAGATATTGTATTCAATATTCCAAGAACTCAGAACGCAAAAGTCAAGGTATTAAATGATAAGTGAACTTTTTACATACAATCTCCACTTTTGAAATATGATGAATTCAGAATATCCATTTTATCAGAATTTCTTTTTAAATGTTTAATATAACAGAACTTCAATGTTGATGTTTCAGAGTCTTTTATCTAATCATTTTAGAATCTCCTGCAGCTCCAATCATCATTCTGGACACATCTAACATGTCTTCATTTTTATTTACAGTTGTGTTCTACCGATTATCTGGAACCTGTGAAATTTTTTGAGATGAACAGATCATAATTTTTTTATGCATTTGCTGCATACCAGATTGGTTTAATATTATGGAAAATATTGATTATAATAGTTGAATGCTATCGTATATATTTGATGAATAAATATATTATGTACATATAGTTTGTATTTATAGGTTCTCAGTTTTTAGAGATATAATTAGATATATAGAGATAGAGATCCTTTTTTTGTTTAGTATGTTTATGAAAGATGTGTTGAGAAATGTTTGACTATAGTTTAAATGGATGTCCTCTTGCTGTATGTCTCTGTAGGATCTAGCACAGTGTGTCAATGAGGTAAAGAGGGACAATGAAATCATTCGTCAGATCACAGCCTTCCAGCTCTGCATTGAGAACATGGTAAGATCAAATCAAACTAAAGGTCTTTTCACACCAAGTATGATATTGTCAAGTAGAAAAACAGATGCGATTTTAACACAGTGGAACCTTCACATCTAGTCCAATTGAGCAAGAGAACAGACCTAGATTTAGAAACAGTCGCTATGTTGTACTACGGTACTCCTCCTGATTCCTCGGACTTTCAGCTACACTCTTGTGAAGAAATAAGTACACCCCATGAAATGCTTTCCTTTTTTGACAAATGTGGGCATAATAGTATTTGATCATCAGCTAAACAGTATGTATAGATATGTTATGTAACAGAACAAAAAAAAACAAAGGAAAATTGATTTTGCAATCATTTATTTCAAAATAAATGAACTGAGATGTCTTTCTTTCTTTGAAAATGTAAGTACACCCCTGGATCCAGTAACTGGTACTGCCCCTTTGGCAGAAACAACTTTATGTAGGTGTTTCCTATAACCGTGTACCAGTTTCATCTATTAGAATACATTTTTTTTCGCATTTTTCCATGCACAATTATTTCAACTGCGCAATGTTCGAGCGGCTTCTTGCATGTACAGCCCGTTTCAAACCCCCCCCCACAGCATTTCAATGGGATTCAGATCTCAGACCATTCTACAACCCTCCGTTCCTTGGTGGATTTACTTGTGTGTTTGGGATCATTATCCTGTTGGATGGTCTTCAGCTTCAACCTTTTTACAGATAGTCTGACGTTCTCCTAAAGCACTCTTTGGTATGAAAGAGAATTCATAGTTGATTCTATGACTGCAAGTCGGCCAGCAAAGCAGCTCCAAACCATAACACCTCCACCACCATGCTTTACAGCAGGTATTCTTCTAAAGAAATGCTGTCTTTAGTTTTGCCAAACTTGGCCCCTGGTACTGTGGCTAACAACCCTATCTATGACTCTATGTCTATCTACGGCCATAGCACGTTGTTCCGGAAGTCCTGGTCCTTGCCTAGATCAATTAGCAAACTTTAGTCTTGCCCCGATGTTCTTTTTAGACAGCAAAGGCTTCCTCCTCATGCACCATGTAGGTCAAATTTGTGCAGTCTTGATGCATGCACTTTTACATAAGTGTACATCAGTGGCAAGAGCTACCCGCAGACGCTGCGATTAAACTTTGGGGTTCTTAAAGACGTATTTTAGCAACTTAAAGTTTGCTACTGAGGTTAATTTGCTGATGTAAAACCAGACCAGATATCTGAGGTTAAATAAGACAGGTTCCTCCAAGGTGTTCTCTAACAGTGTTCTGATCAGAAGGACCTGATTGAATGAACCTGATTTCAATTCGGCACGTTTGAAGGGGTGATATATATATATATATATATATATATATATATATAGTGGTGTACTTACTTTTTCCACATAAGAAAATTGCATTATTGTTTATTTCAGTTATATAAAGAATGACAAAAAACTATGATTTTAAGTGTCACTTGTTAAATCATATCACCTTTATATATCAACACTTTTTAAATGAAGACTTATCTACATGTCCAAACGTACTTCTTCACATGACTGTATGTGGGCTGTGCAATGGTTATGGCACATTTTACGGCATATTCCAGTATGTTAAACTTAACAAATTAACAGAAATAGTGCAATAAAATTTGCAAAAAAAGAAAGAAAATGTTTTTAAAAAGCCATATTTAAATGCATTCTCTGTAGAGGACATGTTGACTTATTCTTACTCAAAAAATGTAATTTGACCAGGGGTGTTGAATATGACTGTAAATTATTTTAAAGTTAGCATGTTGTTTGTTGTTTGTGCTGTGCTGTAATCAAGGAGACATGTTTTTGATTCACATTTGCTTGGACTGCAATCACCCGTAACAACATAGAATAAAGAACATAATATATGAATAAAGATATAATATAGAATATCAAGAACATAGAATATCAAGCTGAAGTGGATTGAAAATTCACAGTCCATTCACAGTCAGTTTAAAACTGTAAATAAAACTGGTAATTCATATTTTAATATAACAGACCTGATATTTTAAAACCCATGTATTTTTTTCATTCTTCAGTGTGAATAGGCTTTGAAAATATATTTCGATATGTACTTAATTGATAAGGTTGTTTAGCGCATGATCACACGTTTAAGCCCTTAAACGGCCAGGACTCACTGGCAAGTCCATAATGTTAACCTAAGAATAACCCAGTCTGCATTGTCGCCCATGTAGTTACTGACTAATAAGTCTTAGCATGTATTAAGCATGTCATGAGGGCTGAAGCTCGTGTGTATTTTGGCTTTGAGATCTACAGGCCTAAAAATAAACACAAACCAGAGACGATACAGGAAGGTGGTCGGCAAACAGTGAACAAGCAGTGCCTAATATTACTGAAGAGCTTGTTATGGCGAAGAATTACAGAATCTACTGTTTTTAGTGTCTTTGAATACATTTGGACCATTGTCTGTTTCCTTAATTTCAGTAGCCAGGCTCTTTTAGAAGAATCAGGTAGAAAACTGAGATCATTAGCACATTTGATCAACTAAAATCATAGATTTGTGCACAAAAAAATGGATTTTCCACCAATTTATCAGTTTAACAAAATGGCACAAACACTTGCAGTTTAGCACAGAAGCTAGCATTGTTCCTCCTACCTGAGAGTTCGGTTCTCAGAAATGTAGCTGAGCTTTTTTTAGCAGATTACGACTGACCAAGCCCAAGCATAGGCAGAGCCTCAGTTAGGGAGGAAAAAACCTCAGCTTAGGCAGATCAGAGGCAACTGGCCAATGAACAGTTGAAGTCAACTAGCTTCCTAAACTATTGTTGAGGTAGCTCAGGTAGGTAGGTAGGTAAATGGAAGGGTTAAGGTTAGGGTTATGGTTAACTCCACCCCCCCCAGCCATGTTAGCTTGGGTAAATCACTGCTTCAAATGGTTTGGGTTAAGCTACACCCCTCAATTTAGTTAGCTAAAGCTAACAGACACTGAAGCTACAGGATACTAACAAGATTTTAACTCGTACATGTGAGCTTCCTCACTAGCACTTTAACGATAACTTCAATAGCTTGCTAGCTGTTTGACTAAGTTCCACCCATGCTGGACCTTCTTAAACCCAATCCGAGACTTTGCTCAGCCTGGGGTTTGGCCCGTGGGGCTGAGACGACGTCTAATTGTCATTCGAAATTAGTTTATAAGCAGAATAATTTGCCGCCTAGTATTATGACCAAAGGGTTTTGTGGGTAATTACGCTTTATTGCTATTATTTTTCTATTTTGTTACCAACAATTTATCACTACAATCATTGGCTTCATTATTTTTTACCAAGTGGAAAATTAGCATGTAATTTTTAGATCAATACATCTTATTACCATACTATTACCATGTCATTACCCACTTATTACTGATCTCTTAAATGCTACTGTTATAATTCCACAGTTCCTCACCTGTGTTCACTTTCAGGTTCACAGTATGATTCCATATTCCAGTTGCTCCACACTGAAAGGCTCCAGAATCCTCTAAAACTTCACCTTGCCAAACTGCCACATATATTGTTTCCTGTGCCTCAGGAAGCCGTAGATGCGTTTACAGCTTGAATGAATGGGCTTGCTGAGTGAGGAAGCTTTAGCTGAACTGTACTGTTCGGATCAGTGGTGACATAGTGGAGGGTAAAATATAAAACGCCATTTTCAATTATTTTAAATGACATTTACTCAGCTTTCTTTTTTTAAGAGTTTACTAACTCATTTGTAGAGTTTTATTACTTACTAGTTTATTGGGTTTCATTCACAATATTGGGAAAGTGAGACACTTTCTGAGAATCAATATGAAGAATCAGAATGCATATCATTCGGTTTTAATAGAGCAGAAACACTCCCATCTCCCAATTCCCAATAAAAATCAGCGGATGACGCCTAACTTTACTCAGGACTGACAACTTAAAGAGAAATTCATTCGATTTTTTTATGTAGTTAAGTGGTTAAGACATAAACAGAGTCATTCAGAGTGGTTTGGTGTGAAACGCTCTGTTCTAGAGAAACCTACCGAGTCAGAATTGTTCACAGTGGTGGTGATAGGAACCAGACGTCCACCTCTAAAAGCAGAGAGTTATTACATGAAACTGTTATCAATTCACTGCCTGATATCTGAAACACTGTTTTATGAAAGTTTTGGCCTAAAATTTGGCTTGAAATCCATTCATCATGGAGGGACACATAACATGCAGGGCACTGTGAGGCAAAATAGTCCCCAAAGAAAACTTATTATTTCAGATTTTCCACTATTTTCCATCATCAACATTCCATATAAACTCAGAAGACTCGTGTAGGTTCACTGGTGGTTCTGGATAGTAAATGAAGTCTATATCTGTGTTGTAGTCATGGTGACCCCTGGTTCCTATCACCACCACTGTAAAGACATCTGAACCATTTCACACCAAACCACTCTGAATCACTGTAACCAGTGAATTCGTCTTTAATCAACTACCAGCTTCGGCGAGGTGGCCAATCAGATTTCAGATAAAATAGTGGTAAATAATATAATACATTTTCTTTGGGGACTATTTTGCCTCACAACATCCTGCATGTATCCCTCCACCATGAATGGAGTTTAAACATACACTTTAGGCCAAAATCTTCTCAAAACCATCATAAAACAGTGTCTCAGTCATCAGGCAGTGAATTCATAACCATTTCATGTAGTAACTTTCTGTGAGGGAGCTTTTAGAGGTGGACGTCTGGTTCCTATCACCACCACTGTGAACAGCTCTGACTCGGCAAGTTTCTCTAAAACGCAGCGTTGCACACCAAACCACTCTGAATGACTCTGTTTATATGATACAGAAATTGTGAAAAAATGTGTGAATTCCCTTTTAATTCCATCCATATTTGAGATTTATATGCCTGCTTCCTTTGGATGTATCAACAGTGCTTCATGTCAAACCAGCAAGTTACAATGAGAGCAAAGCATGCATGCACCTGCTTAGGAGGGGGTTATGTAGAAATGCACGCTTTTCATTGGTCGTTGGAATTCACCATCCCCCTTGTATTTTTTTTTTTCTAATTCAACTTCTGAGTACAATGACAAAGAGGTTAATTCACCGAGATGATTAGTTATATGTGCTGCACGCACAACGACACTGGACGTTAAAATTACTCATAATAAAATATAAATATGAACTACAAATACATATACAGTATACATATGCTACGTTTTTAACACCAGCATATTTTCCTGATTTTTTAAAGTGAAAATTATTTCTCTGTAGGGAATATGTCATTTTTTTTTTTCTGCCGATTTGTGTGCACAGTTTTGTTTGTTCCAACATATTGGAAAAAATAAAACATAGAAGGTGCCAAAACTTTTGCACGGCCCACCCTTTATGTCTTATTTCACCCCCCAAAATGTTAAATTCAGCAAATAAACAGTAATTGTGTATTAAAAATGAGCAGAAATGTGCTCACTGTAGAGGATGTGCTCACTTATTTTGACTTAGAAAATCAACAAGAAGATGGAATTCGGCCAGGGGTGCCCAAACTTTTGCACACCACTATATGTATACCTAAAAAATCAGGAGAGATGTCAGTGAAATGACACTAACGAACGACGGAGCGTTTTCACAAACTTTTCAAACGTACACCAGCTGTTTTGTTGAGCACTTGAAACGTTCACACAGTTCAGAAGTGAATGATTATCATGATTATCGTTTATTGGAATGATTGATCAGGTACTGCTTAATTCGAGCCATACATGTATGAACCGTTACATGCTCTCCAAATCTTGCAAAATGTGAATGTTTGCAGAGCATGATGCTGTGCAGCGGAGCAGGTAACCACAGTGGGGTTGTTTCATTCTGACTGAACCCGGCCCTGAACTACTGATATCACTCTTACAGCGATAGTAGAAAAAATCTGCTTTACCCTGTTCCCCTCCGAATGTGGCCAGTCAGCCAAGACATGTTTGGTGCTTGGCTTTTTTAGGTTTAACACTGGAGCTACGAGGCTAATGTAGCTAACGAGTAATAGAAGCTTAGACTCCACCAGTTAGCAAGACAGATTAGCTAATCTGCCTCAAACCGTGCGGAGTTTAGTATCTCTAATAGATGTGATTATGTGGTTTCTTACACTATTAACACGGACTAAAGCACGTTAGCATAGCTAAAATATAGCAGCAGCTACATTGAGGCCTGTACTTTTGTCCGCTTAGCCTTGCTTAGCTATACTGGACATATCTTTAGTTTTAGCATGTGAGCAACAAGGTTAACGTGGCTGACGACTAATAGAAGCTTACTAGCAATTAGCATGGTGCTAACTGCATGACTAAATCTTCATTCAAAGCAGGTGGAGTTGTTTAGTATCTCTAATAGACTTGATAATGTGGTTTATGACACTGGAAACATGGACTAAAGCATGTTAGCATAGCTAAAAACATAGCAGCAGCTATTTTGACGCCTGTACTGTTTTCTGCTTAGCCTTGTTTAGCTATATTGGACTCGTCTTTCTTTAGTTTTAGCGCATGAGCAACAAGGTCAAAGTGGCTAACCAGTAATAGAAGCTTACTAGCAATTAGCATGGTGCTAACTGCCTGACTAAATCACTGTAGAGTGGAGTTGTTCAGTTATCTCTAATAGACTGATTTTGTGGTTTCAGACATACTGTTAGCTACAAACTTGGACTAAATTCAACCTTCCTAGTGGCTTCTACTGATCTTAACTATGCTAATGTTCCTTTGCCCATGTTTCTAGATAACAGTGTATCATACAGTGTCAGACACCACATAGCTAATTGTCATTTCAGCATTTTGAGGCAAGCAGTTAGCATCATGCTAATTCATAAGCTGTAAGCTTTCATTACTTATTGGCTACATTTGCCTTGTAGCTTCAGCACAAAACTAAAGAAGTAAACTTCAGACCCCAAACCTGTCTTGGCTGATCGACTACATTAGGAGTAAATATTTCAATTAACTATCTCTTTAAATGTCTCAAATGAGTGAGATTGAGGAGACTGTGTGTTTAAACATAGATTAAATCACATCCTTACTCCTCCTCCCCTCTCTTCTCTTCTCTTCTCTTCTCTTCTCTTCTCTTCTTTTCTTATGCCCCCAGGCTCAGTCCCTCGCTCTATTTGGGCGTCCAAAGATTGATGGAGAGCTGAAGATCTGCAGTCCAGAGAAGAAGTCCAAACAGGACAGGTAAATGTGAGGGTTTACACCAGTGATCCTGGAGATCTACCTTCCAGTGGAGTCTAGCACCAACCCCAATCTGCCACACCTGCTAGAGCTGATTGTTTGGATCAGTTGCATTATTAGGGCAACATTATAGATGCAGGTTGGACTTAACCTCTGTAGGAAAGCAGTTCTCCAGGAGGATTGATGACCACTTGTTTATATGGTCACTGTCATAAGAAAACCTCATATCTCCATAATGGTCATTTCCAGAAGGAAAAAGTGTTAAATGTATGTAACAGTGATGAAGAGGAGGAAGACGTGGGTTCAGGATACAAGTGCGAGTTGTTTTAAACCAGTCCATTTTGAAAGCATTGACAAGAAAAGGAGAGGCTAAATTGAAACACCAAACAAGGAAAACAAACAAATTAGGGGGAGGTCTTTAAACAAAGGGGCAGTGATTAGGACCAATCACAGTCAGGGGGAGGTCTCAGAATAAACAACACAGTGACTAGGACCAATCACACTCAGGGGAGGTCTCAGAACAAATAAGATGGTGATTAGGACCAATCACAGTCAGGGGGAGGTCTCAGAACAAACGACACAGTGATTAGGACCAATCACAGTCGGGGGAGGTCTCAGAACAAATAAGATGGTGATTAGGACCAATCACACTCAGGGGGAGGTCTCAGATGATTATTGATCATTGATCGCATTAAAGTGTATGTGTGTGTGTGTGTGTGTGTGTGTGTGTGTGGGTGTGTTTGTGTGTGTGTGTGTGTGTGTGTGTGTGTGTGTGTTTGTGTTTGTGTGTGTGTGTGTGCAGGTATGCGTTCCTGTTTGATAAAGCTCTGCTGGTCTGTAAGAAGAGGAGTGGAGAGAGTATGGAGCTTAAGGAGCTCATCGACCTTCAGCATTTCCAGCTCAGAGACGAACCATCAGGAGATAAAGATCACAAGAAGGTTCCTCATCAGCTCCTCTACTCCTTACCTTCATCTCCGACATCAACTCCGTCTCTCTACTCCTCACCTTCATCTCCGACATCAACTCCGTCTCTCTACTCCTCACCTTCATCTCCGACATCATCTCCGTCTCTCTACTCCTTACCTTCATCTCCGACATCAACTCCGTCTCTCTACTCCTCACCTTCATCTCCATCATTATCTCTGTCTCTCTACTCCTTACCTTCATCACCATCATCATCTCCGACATCATCTCTGTCTCTCTACTCCCCACCTTCATCTCCATCATCATCTCTGTCTCTCTACTCCTCACCTTCATCTACGACATCATCTCCGTCTCTCTACTCCTCACCTTCATCTCCATCATCATCTCTGTCTCTCTACTCCTTACCTTCATCTAAGACATCATCTCCATCTCTCTACTCCTCACCTTCATCTCCATCATCATCTCCATCTCTCTACTCCTTATCTTCTTCTCCATCATCATCTCCATCTCTCTACTCCTCACCTTCATCTCCGACATTATCACCATCTCTCTACTCCTCACCTTCCTCTCCATCATCATCTCCATCTCTCTACTCCTTACCTTCCTCTCCATCATCATCTCCATCTCTCTACTCCTCACCTTCATCTCCGACATCATCTCCTTCTCTCTACTCCTTACCTTCATCCCCATCATCATCTCCTTCTCTCTACTCCTTACCTTCATCTCCATCATCATCTCCATCTCTCTACTCCTCACCTTCATCTCCGACATCATCTCCTTCTCTCTACTCCTTACCTTCCTCTCCATCATCATGTCTGTCTCTCTACTCCTCACCTTCATCTCCATCATCATCTCCGTCTCTCTACTCCTTACATTCATCTCCGACATCATCTCCTTCTCTCTACTCCTTACCTTCCTCTCCATCATCATCTCTGTCTCTCTACTCCTCACCTTCATCTCCGACATCATCTCCATCTCTCTACTCCTCACCTTCATCTACGACATCATATTCGTCTCTCTACTCCTCACCTTCATCTCCACCATCATCTTCGTCTCTCTACTCCTCACCTTCCTCTCCATCATCATTTCTGTCTCTCTACTCCTCACTTTCATCTCCATCATCATCTCCGTCTCTCTACTACTCACCTTCATCTCCGACATCATCTCCGTCTCTCTACTCCTTACCTTCATCTCCATCATCTCCATCTCTCTACTCCTTGCCTTCATCTCCATCATCATCTCCATCTCTCTATTCCTCATCATCACCTCCATCATCATTTCCGTCTCTCTACTCCTTACCTTCCTCTCCGACATCATTTCCGTCTCTCTACTCCTTACCTTCATCGCCGATATTATCTCCGTCTCTCTACTCCTTATCTTCATTTCCATCATAATCTCTGTCTCTCTACTCCTCACCTTCATCTCCGACATCATCTCCATCTCTCTACTCCTTCATCTCCGACATCATCTCCGTCTCTCTACTCCTCAACTTCATCTACGACATCATCTCTGTCTCTCTACTCCTCACCTTCATCTCCATCATCATCTCCATCTCTCTACTCCTTACCTTCCTCTCCATCATCAACTGTCTCTTTACTCCTCACCTTCATCTCCATCATCATCTCTGTCTCTCTACTCCTCACCTTCATCTCCGACATCATCGCCATCTCTCTACTCCTTACCTTCATCCCCATCATCATTTCCATCTCTCTACTCCTTACCTTCATCTCCATCATCATCTCCATTTCTCTACTCCTCACCTTCATGTCCGACATCATCTCCGTCTCTCTACTCCTTACCTTCATCTCCATCATCATGTCTGTCTCTCTACTCCTCACCTTCCTCTCCATCATCATCTCCATCTCTCTACTCCTCACCTTCATCTCCGACATCATTTCCATCTCTCTACTCCTCACCTTCATCTCCGACATCATCTCCATCTCTCTACTCCTCACCTTCATCTCCGACATCATCTCCATCTCTCTACTCCTTACCTTCATCCCCATCATCATCTCCATCTCTCTACTCCTCACCTTCATCTCCATCATCATCTCCATCTCTCTACTCTTTACCTTCATCTCCATCATCATCTCCATCTCTCTACTCTTTACCTTCATCCCCATCACCATCTCAATCTCTCTACTCCTCACCTTCATCCCCATCATCATCTCCATCTCTCTACTCCTTACCTTCATCTCCATCATCATCTCTGTCTCTCTACTCCTCACCTTCATCTCCGACATCATCTCCGTCTCCCTACTCCTTACCTTCATCCCCATCATCATCTCCATCTCTCTACTCCTCACCTTCATCCCCATCATCATCTCCATCTCTCTACTCCTTACCTTCATCCCCATCATCATCTCCATCTCTCTACTCCTCACCTTCATCTCCGACATCATCTCCATCTCTCTACTCCTTACCTTCATCCCCATCATCATCTCCATCTCTCTACTCCTCACCTTCATCCCCATCATCATCTCCATCTCTCTACTCCTTACCTTCATCCCCATCATCATCTCCATCTCTCTACTCCTTACCTTCCTCTCCATCATCATCTCCATCTCTCTACTCCTTACCTTCATCCCCATCATCTCCATCTCTCTACTCCTTACCTTCATCTCCATCATCATCTCTGTCTCTCTACTCCTCACCTTCATCTCCATCATCATCGCCATCTCTCTACTCCTCACCTTCATCTCCATCATCATCTCCATCTCTCTACTCCTCACCTTCATCTCCATCATTATCTCTGTCTCTCTACTCCTTACCTTCATCTCCATCATCATCTCCGCCATCGTCATCATCTCTTTCTTCATCACTGATCTTTTCATCTTCATATTTCTTTTTCCTTTATTCAGCCATTTCTTCTCTTTATGTGTCTTCATCCTCACCTTGACCATTTTTCAGTTTCATTTTTCCTTTTATCTTCTCTTTTCTTCTCCTCATCATCTATTCATCTTCATCACTCTCTTCCCTTTATCTTCCTCTTCGCCATTCTTCATTTTCATATTTTTCATCATCCTTTTGTCTCGTTATTTTCATCTAGCACTTTTTCTTCTCATCATATTTATCTTCAGCTCTCTTCTCTGTATATAATTCATACTGATAAAAATGTATTTTCACTCAGCTTCTCTCTCAAATTGCATTGAATATCTGCATTTTGTTTGTGTACAGTGGACACATACTTTCCTGCTGATGGACTCGTACGGTCAGGGCGGCTATGACCTGTTCTTTAAGACGCGGGAGCTGAAGAAGAAATGGCTGGAGCAGTTTGAGATGGCTCTGTGAGTGAAACATCACCGTCATCTACATCATTTTCCTACCTTTGTTCCAATAAGAGCTGGTAGGATATTGTTGGAAAGTTAATTGAAAGCTTTCTGGATTCTTAATGGTGATTGCGTGCAGGTCCAACTTGTGTCCAGACAACAGCACAGCTAACGGTCATGACTTCCAGATGTACTGCTTTGAGGACACCACTTCCTGCAAAGCCTGTCAGATGTTGCTCAGGTAAACAGTCTGGATTTCTTCTAACTATCCAGCTTTAGATTGATAATTCAAACAAAAATAGAACTGACCCAGTTTTCCTCTCTTACCCCAGATGTAGTTAATCAGCCAAGACATCTTTGGTGTCCGGAGTTTGCTTCTTTAGTTTTAGCACTTTATGATGCTAGTGTAGCTAAGAAGTAACTGAAGCTTATACCCCACCAATTAACATGGTGCATGCCTAAATCATCAAACAGTTGCCTTAAACAATGTCAGCCACTCGAAGCCTAAATTTTGTCCAAGATTTTGTTTGTTAATATAGATGGATGCTGATTGGTAGTGTTAAAGCTTTATGGGGGAAACTGTAAATTAGATTTTAGTGGAACTATTGCTAATATATGGTCTTTCACGTGCCTTTATGGAGACTAATCTTCTGGTAGAGTCTGAATCATTTATGGCAGATCCAGGTTAGAAATAAAACTGCTGGGAGATTAATAAGTTGGGCTTGAACTTTGTATGTTATAAGAGAGTTAAGTAAACAGTTATAAATACAAGAGACAGTAGATCTCAAACAGAGTTTAAACCGGTGGTCTCCTGCCCTGGTCCTGGAGAGCTACCTTCCTGCAGAGTTTAGTTCCTACCAGTATCCAATAAGCTGCCTGCCTCTTTCTTAACTCTAACACATCTGATCCAGGCAGTCATGGACTTGGGAAGAGGTTGATTAGCTGCAGCAGGTGTGGCAAACTGTGGTTGGAACTGGGCTCTGCAGGAAGGTAGCTCTCCAGAACCAGGATTGGAGACCTCTGGTTTAAACTGGGAGGAGGTGAACCACTGCTCAATAGAGCAGGATAGTATGAACCAAAACCACATTGCAACCTACATATAGCATTGCAATAGATTAAAACACACTGGGGAATCTTTGTTGTAACATAGTTAAAGATTGGCCTGCATCATTTATTCATATAATTATTTTAGTTTTACCCAGTTTCTCCCCAGTTTAGTTGAGGCCTGTTCCACCTAGCTAGGTCTCCCTTCAACACATAATGCTACCAAGGTAGAAGGGTGAAGGCAAGCACATGCAAAGCTCCACAGCACCTTTTCAAACTGGTGCTAATGCAACGTTATTGGAGCTCAACACACTTGGAAGAGAATGCTACGTACTAATTCTGTTACATTAGCTAACAGACATTCGCAATGGCTAGCATTGAGCTGAGTGGAGGGGGGGAGATGGGGGACAATCCATAACAGTCCTAGAGAGGACAGTTAGGATTTCCTGGACTCCTGGCCACGAATGGCTATACGTTCACCTCACAGTGATCTTACAATGATAGGGCCAGTGCTTAGATGGCAGTGCCACTTGGGAACCCCAAAGCCATTGTTTGTAATGAAGGTATAGCCACTGAAGGTGTAGCCACTAGTGCCAACATTCGGTGTCGACATATCTGGCAACTTGCAGCACTGTTCAATTTCTCTGTGTGTCTGTGTGCCATTACTACATTGCACTAAAGCTAGAACTAGGCCACTAGAAGCCAGAGTAGATGACCTGTGGCCTGAAATTTACACCAAGAATGGCAGCCGTACTAGTCTTTTTACCTAAACAGACAAGTGGTCTGTTACCTCTGCTAATGGTACTAGCCTAGTCCTTTTTCACCTCAAATCTTTCAACTGGAGAATCTTAAAACCATTGGCCAACTGTGCTTGCATACAGAGAAATTAGACCTCCACATTTTTCCTATTGAGCACTTGCCCGGCACCCGGGGAACAGCTGGGGGTTAGATGTCTTGCTCAAGGGCACTTCAGTCACATACTGTCAGCTCAGGGGATTGAACTGGCAACCTTCTGGTCACAAGCCTGGTTCCCTAACCTCCAGCCCACGACTGTCCCCAAAAAGCTTCCCCAGAGCTGCTGCTTAGCCAGTTGTGCCACTAGAGTGCCTGGCCTGCATTGATTTGATAACGTTTATTGATATTGATGATCACAGCAAGCAAAAAAACATTTAGTGAGTGGTTATAAAGGCCAGTATAATGATCTTCATTAACAAATGATTCTTTATTTGCTCCATCAGAGGGATATTCTTCCAGGGCTACCGCTGCAGCCGCTGCAAAATGCCTGCCCACAAGGAGTGTCTGGGACGAGTTCCTGCGTGTGGTCGAAGCTCAGGTGACCTGTTTGATTTAGGACCTTCAAGGGATTATTTTAACACGATTATGTGGCAGTACAACGAAGATCAATATTAACAGTACTGAGAGAGTATGTATGTATGTGAATCTGTTTCATCTATTTTTGTTTTGTTTTTTACAGAAAATTCTGGGACTTTGAAAAAGGTTAGTGTCATTTGTAGTCTTTATATTGTTTTCTCAGTGCATTATCATTTATGTGGTGTGGTATGCGCCTGTCCCCTGCCGGCTTCCTGCCTCTCGTCATCGTGGCCCAAACTCCGATCCTAGATGAAACCCCTGCGAAGACGGCAGAGATAGGATGAAATCTGCAAAGGAGTGGGGGCGGCGCTTGAGTCCCGAGCCTCGCCTCCTGGGCACTACCTCTGGTCCCGCAGCAAGGCCACTTTAATTTACCTCACTTTTGATCACGGTGGCCGAGCCGGAGAGCAGGGGTGGTGCCCAGGAGATGGGGCTCAAGACTCGTACCCTGTGCCCCCACTCCCTCACAGATTTCATCCTCTCCCTGCTGTCTTCGCTGGGGTATCTTCAGGGCTCGGAGTTCAGGCCCTGCCTTCCTGGCAGCTCTGGCGGCCATCATTGGGGCCCAGGGGACAGGCGCATGCCGCACGTGGTATGGCTAATATCAACCTCAAAATCAACAACGATACTCAGTATCCACTATGAAATCTAGTTATGAGAGTGAGGAACTAAAGTGTTAGGCTTTATGGGGTTAAAACAATCCTATCGTCAGCCAGTGTGTCAAAATGTTCAATCATTTTTCTCTCTTTCAGAACAAAAACCGATCTGCAACTCACCGACAGACTAAACCAGGTCAGTTCAGTCAAATTTGTGATCATTTATATATGCTTGATCAGCTTTTCTTAATTCATATTTCTCAAAGTTTAGTGTTTTGCATGCTGCATCTACAGGCAGGCAAAAGAGATATTTTATCATTATTGTGATAATTACGTCACTCTTTGCTGAGTACATGGTGGGTTGGTCGGTACTTCTAGAACACTGAACAACTGCAATGATCATAGAAAATAAAGATTTCAACCAATTATAATAAGTAAACACCAACAATGCAGAGTAACTGCATAAACTGTATAGTAACAGGTAGTTGATTGGATGACAGCCCATTATGGTGTCATCTCATTTTTATTAATTTATGTGTTCTGTTCCTTCTTAAATTTTGCTAACTTTAAATGAAATTCATATTGTGGGAACAAAAGATCATGATGTGTATCATGTTTTGTGAATATGCCTCATGTATCTTAATGTTATATTTTGCATTATCGCCCAATCCATCCTAACTGGCTCCTCCACTCTCTTCCACTCCTCTTTTTCACTCTGTCGCTCTCAGGTCTTCCTAAGATGGAGGTGTGTCACGATTATTATGGGCTGCCTCCACCACCGGTGGCTTTCGGCCAACCACTGCATCTCACCGTTGGTGACGTCGTAGAGCTGACGCGTGCAGACGTCGACCTACAGTGGTGGGAGGTGAGGCTTCATCATTATATTCTTACTCCATTGCTCAAGACACACGTGGGAAAGTGTCACCCTAATGTTCCCATGCCTAACAATGACCGGATGCTGGCAGGGAATGAAAACCAATATGGTCATGCTAGCTGCACTTTTGCGCCATGCTATCAATTTTGCCCGTGCTAATCCTTAATAAAAAAAAGTGGTCATTGTTTTCAAAGCTAGCAATTTTGATAACTTTAACTATTACTTTGTGCCACAACAAACGGTACCCACCACCAGGAGAGAAAGTTCTGCCTCATTTAATGTTGTGTCTGCTTTCCCTAAAAACAGGAGTGAAACTGGTTAGGTTTTTGGTTTCAGTTCACTAAAAAAGATGCAGTTCAGCACTTTCGACATCCTCTTAGAGTCACTACTGCATAAGTAAGGGGAAAAGCGCCAGAGGGGTTACAGTAGAACTCCTGACCGCTAGTCAATCTGACTGGAATCAAAGTTTCAGTGTTGCAAAAACAAAGCCAAATCTGTTTAAATTAGGCATTTTTACTTTCCCCATATTTACGACCAGATCTGTGCTTATGCTAGCTTGATCAATTCATGCCCAACAACTAACTTTAGTATGGTGAAGAAAAATGACACAAAACCCAGTTCTGACTGGTCTAAATCAGGGCCTAGACCCCACCCACTTATTTGTACAAACCCAGTTTCAAACAAGTTGACATAGTGTTTGAAATGCTATTATTATTAGTAAATTCTGTTGGACCTGTATTAAACTGAAAGCAGCACAAACACATTTTTTTGCAAGTTTGATGACTGTAATATGTTCCAAAAAAGTTGGGAACAGGACCACATTCACCACTGAGTTACATCACCTTTACTTTTTAACAGCACCTAATAATTATCTGGGGACTGAAAAGACAAACTGTTCCAGTTTTGAAAGTGGATTTGCCATTCTTCTGTACTACAAGCTGGTAACAATCTGGAAGATCCTTTTCTTCTTTGACTCAGAGGACACAATGTCCATTAGTTCCATGCACAATCTGAGAGGGTGACTCATCAGACTACAATACATGTTTCCACTGAGCATTTTTTTTCCGGTGAGCTTAAGCCCAGAGAAGTTGGCGGTGTTTCTAGACATTGTTGATACAGCTTTTGCTGTGAATAGTGCAGTCATAACTTGCATTTGTGGATGCAGCGATGGACGGGTTTATTGACAACGGTTAATCAAAGTATTCCTGAGCCCATGCAGTGATACCCATCACAGAAACATGCTGGTTTTTAACGCAGTGCCGTCTCAGAGATTGATAGTCTGTTGTGATTTTTGGCCTTGTCTTTTATGCAGAAAGAGATTTCTCCAGATTCCCTGAATCTAATGATGATATTTTATGCTGTAGAGGGTAAAATGCCTAAAATCCTGGCAATTCCTGGTTGGGAATTGGTTGGTTGTTGGTTGTTATTCCTTTCTTTGTGTCATTTTTTGGATGCTGGATTTTTTGCTGATGCATTTTTGGTAAAGTTGTGAACCTAAACAAAAAAAAAGTTCTTCTATTTTCACAAAATTGACATCGTAACTCTTTTTGGTACTATATAGAACCATTTCCAAAAAGCTTCTACATAGAACCATGCACAATACTTTCTCCGTCAAAGTGAAGAACGATTTCACCATGCAAAGAACTATTTAAGCATGAAATGGTTCTATATAAAACTCATGGTTCTAAAAATAACTAAAGAACACTTGAAGAACCTTTTTTATGCGTGTACACTAAAGCCATATTTGAGCTGGATTAGTTTTATCTGCAGAGGTGCTTTACGTTTGAATGATCACTATTGAGATTTGTGATTTTAATCCAGAATAAATTTGCAATGTCTATAGTTTCTGCAAGTTTGATAGACAGATAACCTTATATATTTCGCAGAACCTGAAGCTCCTTCAGTAATAGCAGTCCTGTTCAGACCTACTTCACAGTAATATAATAACAGAATCCTACAACAAACATCCACACCTCTGTTTTTCGCTGTCTGGAAAACAAGGTTAACTGCTAAAATGGAGATCTTGGCACAGATACTTTATCCTTCAATTTAAAACAGAACTGTAATCTGTACCATTTTTGCTGATGGTCTGATTAGAAGGAGAAGGAAAATGGAATATCTGTGAAGTATCTCCCACAAAGCACTGCAAATTCTGTCTTGTTTGGCAGCATTTGTTAAGCTGAATGAGTCCACTTTACTAGCCTAATGCTATTATCTCTGGCATTAACTTAAAGCTTGTTTTTGTTGTTGTTTGACCTTGTTTAATTCTAATCTGTTACGCTAATGTGAACGTCCAGGCTATGACACTTTCATCTGGGCTATTCAGTTTAAATCAATTTGACTTTATTATCATTATACATATATGGTGGTACAGTATAAGAAACATGTTTAGGCTACCTCTCCGGTGCATAAACATTAGGACAGGGACATGAGTGCACATATACAAGTTGTATAAGAGACACTATGTATACGCAAAATCAGTACAAAAAAACAATATATAGACAATAAAACAAACAGACAATAGGAAATATATACAGAATCAACCAGAGACTCAGAAGTGTACTGGTGCATAGACAGTGTGTAAACCTATGTGGGACCATTTTTAGAGGCAGTGTTCAGTAAACAGTGGAATGCATATTAGTTCAAGTGATCAGTCCAAGTATATGTGAAGCAAGCCAGCAGTGTGGCATTAAATAGCATTAAAGAGAGCAGATAGTTGGAGTAGTGTTTGTATTCATGATCTGGTGGGCGCTGTGGGTGTGACCAGTTTAACTACATGGGGAAATTACACAGATACTGTATCAGGTATGAATCAGCCCATCAAAGATCCCTTACAAATGACATTACTGACCTCTTCTGATCAAACCAAGTAAGATGTTAAGTAGGTTTATGCGAACGTCTTGACCTGTTTAGACGACTTCCTTCTGTTTTTATTGCTGCTAGCCTTTCATTTAGCACCACTATTCACTTTCTTTAATATTTCTCTTTATTTCTTCTCGTCTTGTTAATTAAAATGTACTATTTTTTAACCATTTTTTTCTCTTTTTTAATTGTTGTTAATCTTTTTACCATTTGGTGTATACTGCACTGCCACTTGCTTATACAGCCAGGCACACCGCACAACTATTAACGTATGTTATCGTTTACAGTGCTTAGTCACTCAGTTCATCCACTGGATGTGACATGCACCACTGCACTGTCACCTGCATAGTATTTATGCAATTTTACTTACTTATTTTTGTACTGCACATTATATTTTATGGTTTTTTTAGTATATTTTATTATATATCTTCTCCTGTTTTGCTCTTTACTGTACATCATGCTGCTGCAATAGAAGACTTTCCCTCTGGGATTAACAAAGGGATATATCTATCTATCTATTTGTCTATTTATCTATCTATCTATCTATATATATATATATATATATATATATATATATATATATATATCTTGCATTGTCAGCTCTCAATGCAGTTCATAAATATAGAGATATAAGAAATAAATAAAAAAATATAAGAAATATAAAGCTTTAGCTCTTGTTGTGGGTCTTTGTGCTTTAGAAAGAAAAAGAAATGCTGTCGGCCTGTTACACTCGAAACAGAACACGCCGTGTGGGTTTCTCACTGCGTGCACATTCAAATACACCACAAAACACGTGGTAAGCCCACGACGTGCACTGCAGACCCCGTTCCCATGCTGTCACTTCAGGTTTTCGGAGCAGAGCTAAAACTACATCAGACATAAACAGTGTTACAGTATTAGTTTCAGTTAATCAGAAACGCACGCATCTTTGCTTCTCACTGCGAGTGCAGGAGTTCCCCACGCACCGCACGCTGCACTGTTTTCCTGCTCCAACACGCCTAAATCAACTCATCAGATCATAAACAGACACTTTATGGCACTAAAGTGGCAAAGCTGCATGCAGACAGCCATTCTGGTCAGCAAATTCCTCAGAGGGGAACCTTCAGGACCTTCTAGGCAGCTCTCGTGTTCTCAGAACAATAGAGTCCAGGACAAGAGTCGAGACATCACTGAGCATTACTGAATGTGTTTGGGATTACTTGGATGGTGAAAAGCAGGTAAAGCATAACCAACTTCTAAGACTGAACTTTGGAGCTGTGGCCAGCAGAAGGTTTCAGGAGACTCGCTTTCAGTTTCTCAAAGAAATCTTTGGGCACACCTCCAAAGTTCAGTCTTAGAAGTTTGTTTGGTCTCACTTTATTTGGATAGTCCACTATAGTCCCATATAGATTATCTACAGATTAGGAATTGGACCAGGGTTATGGCTAGAACCAGAGTGAGGGTTGGGTTTAGGTTCTGGGTTGAGGTTAAGGTTAGGGCTAGGGTTAGAGCAGGTTTAGAGTTAAAGACAATTATGGTCAGTTTAGTAGATATTTAGTTGAGTGTATCTTGAAAGTAAATTAAGTATCTACAAAGCATCTAAAGTGGACTATCCAAATAAAGGGTTACCGTTGGTTGATCATTTTAATGTAATGTAATTAATCCAAACACATTCAGTGATGCTGAGGTCTGGACTCTGGGGTGGTCACTGAACTTTGGAAGAGTGTCTGCAGATTTCTTTGAGAAACTGAAAGTGGGTCTCCTGAAAAGAATGGAAGCTGGAATAAAGGGAAAGAGCGATACTCTGAACACTCACTCAGCTGAGATTAGATTTAGTTGTTGAGGCTTCTGGGTAATTTTCTGCCAAACATGTATTTTGTGCTTTTTTTCCGACACTGAAAAATGAATAACTTGTACTTACTGGCTGTTTTGACTTCAGGCTAATTAAATAAAACGGGTGTTCTCTGACTTCTGCATAGTACTGTATGTCTTATGCCTGGAGGGCTATTTTTAAACTATTTTTAGCAGTTGTAGTTAATCAGTCCTGAAATCAGGGGGTGCTCCAGCCCCCTCGACACTTCCCAGCATTCCTGCATGACACCCAGTTCTCTCGGCAGGCTGATAACATTAAGGACTCGCCTTATGTTTGCTTAGCCTGTGCCCATTAGTGCTTTAATGCTCAAATTCACAGATAATGAACAAAGTCATTATTAGGTAAAAGTGTGGCCTTGTTAGACGAGGAACAGCTCAGAAATGTACAGCATGTGACAGGCCTGCTCATCTAAGATGCTTATTCTCATGGGTCGCTGGAGCCTATCCCAGGGCAAAAGGCAGGAAACACCCTGGACAGTGCACCAGAGGGCGAACACATAGACATACACAGTAACTCACTCACACATAGGGGCAATTTAGTATCTCCAATTGGCCAGACTGCATGTCTTTGGACTGTGGGAGGAAACCCACACAGACACAGGGGGAACATGCAAACCTCACACAGAGAGGACCCTGATCGCCCGGCCGGGGAATCGAACCCTGACCCTTCTTGATGTGATGCAGCAGCACTTCTCCCTGCACCACCATGCTGTTGGGCCGACTTCCATATGAATACAGTGTAAAATGTAACCATGTTTGTGTGTTTCAGGGCAGGAATCTGACTGTAGGAGAGGTCGGCTGGTTCCCCTGCAGTAAAGTTCAGCCCTTCTTACCGGTGAGTGAGCCCAGGGTCAAGAGCTCGTCCACTTCAAAGGTCAAATTACATTCCTAGCTATTTTACTTTTTCATAACATTGCATTATAAGAGGAGGGGATCACTCTGTATGCTTTCTGGAAGCTGAGGCACTTTTCTCAAAATGTTTTCAGTGGAAGGGAAGTGTTTTTTGGTCACTTTGTTTGGACATTCAGGCACCCTGAGCTGCAAAAATGCCAACTCAAAGTGCTTCAGAGGAACAGAAAGGCAGACCTGCAGTGAGAGTGTAAATATGGAGGAGAAACTAGCAGTTGCAGTTCCTGCCCTGCCTGAAAAAAAGACCAATAGATTACATTTTCAGTAATCCTGCATACATCAGCAATTATATCTCTTGTTCCTCCGCCTTTCCTGAATCGTGCTGGTAATTTAGAAGTTCCCTTTCAATGCTCAGCTGTAAACTGCCTGTAATTTTATTGGTGTACGATATTAAGGAAATTGTGCAGTAGTTTGCACACTCTTTCTATTCTCTTTTCTTTGGTACTGGAATATAAACAGACCTCTTCTTATCTGCTGGCCATTGAGCAGTTTTCCAGATATGTTGGCAAAATTTGGTCTGTACTTTAAGTACCTTCCCTTTGGCTAAAAAGAAACCTGCTTTAGAGTTAAGCAAAAAAACAAACCAATGCCTATGCCTATACACAGTGCTGTGAAAAAGTATTTGCCCCTTCCCAATTTTTTCTATTTTTGCATATTTGACACACTTGAATGCTTCAGATCATCAAATTAGTTTTAATTTTAGACAAAGATAACCCAAAAAACACAAAATGCTGTTTTTACATGATGATTTCATTTATTGAAGGAAAAATGCTGTTCAGCCCTACCTGGCCCTATGTGAGAAAGTAATTGCCCTCTTTGCTACTAAACTAACTAGTTAACCAAATTCAATTGACAGTTGTGTTCAGTTTCACTGCTACACCCAGGCATGATCACTGCCAGACCTGTTGAATCTAAACTTCACTTAAATAGAATGTGTCTGGCAATGTGAAGCAGCTAGAAGGTCTAAAATAGCAGCACATGGTGCCACTTTCTAAAGAGGTTCAAATACAGATGTGAAACAAAGTTACTGAAATCTACTGCCTGGAAAGGGTTACAAAGCCACTGATAAGGCTAAGGGACTCCAGTGAACCACAGTGAGAGCCATTATCCACAAATGGAGAAAACTTGGAACGGTGGTGAACCTTCCCAGGAGTGACCGGCCAACCAAAACTAAACAAAGAGCGCATCAAAGAGCGTCACAAAAGAACCCAGACAGACATCTAAAGAACTCATGGCCTTACTTTCTTCAGTTAAGGTCAATATACACAATTTCACAATAAGAAAGACTCTGGGCAAAAAAGGCATCCATGGGAGAGCTGCAAGGTGCAAACCACTGCTGACCAAAAAGAAGAGAAAGGCTCATCTCGCATTTGCCAAAACACATCTAGATGACCCCCAAGACTTTTTGGACAACATTCTGTGGACTGATGAGTCAAAGGTGGAACTTTTTAAAAGACATGGGTTCCGTTACATCTGGCATAAAGCTAACACAATATTCCACCATAAGAACATGATAGCAACAGCGAAACATGGTGGTGGTTGTGTGATGGTCTGGAGCTATTTTGCTTCTGCAGGACCTGGACGACTTGTCATAACTGATGAAACCATGAATTCTGATCTCTATCAGAAAATCCTGAAGGAGAGTGTCCGGCCCTTCAGTTTGTGACCTCAAGTTCAAGCGCAGTTGGGTTATGCAGCAGGACAATGATCACACAAGCAAGTCCACCTCTGATTGGCTCAAAAGAAACAAAATTAAGGTTTTGGAGTGGCCGAGTCAAAGTCCTGACTTGAATCCCATTGAGATGCTGTGGCAAGACCTTAAAGGGGCAGTTCATGCTCAAAAACCCTCCAAAGTAGCCAAATTAAAACAATTCTACAAAGAAGGGTGAAGAGCCAGAATTCTTCCACAGCGATGTGAAAGACTCGTCACAAGTTATCGCAGATGTTTGATTGCAGTTGTTGCTGCCAAGGGTGGCACAAACGGTTATGGGGTTTAGGGGGCCATTACTTTTTCACATGGGTGATATAGGTTTTGAATAAATCTTTGTCTTCAATTAATGGAATGATCATTTAAAACCTGCATTTTTTGTTGACTTATGTTGTCTTTATCTTATATTAAAACTAGTGGGACAATCTGAAACATTTAAATGTGACAAATTATTGGAATAACCAGCTAGCTTTCCTGCTTTGCTGGTAGTAAAGTCTTTTTTTTACAGTCGCATAAAAAAAAGCAAAAAACAAACAAACCAAAAAGCATCAAACTCGTATTACTGCCAGAGCTTTCCTCCTATGCATATCAAAACTATTTACAAGACAACTAGCTTTCTTGTTGATGTCTGTTTTAGAGTTACATAAAAACCCCCAAAAGCTAATCAATAAATAAACAAATACATTAGCTGTCTGCCTTACATGCCCTGAAAACACTCTTTAGCTCAGATCTCTTTAAAACGCTGACCAATCTCTCTGAATTTTGGTGGGAAACTGCGGCTAGGAAATGTGGTGATGTGGTCAGAAGCTCATGCTGCTTGACCTTCTTTTACAACATAAAGGTCAAACTGATCGCTAGCAGCTGTGCATCAACCAGCCGGCCTCCTTGATGCTAAAAACCATTACATGAATTAGAGTTACATACAAAACTGAAACAAAAAAAACAAACAAAAAGCTATGAATTCTTATTAGTGCCAGTTTTCTGCCTATAGAAATGGAAATAATCGCTAGCTATGATAGACAGAATCAGAATCGAGACCACCAGTGGTTCCAAAACACACTTCGTCATATTCCTCATAACTTTCATATTTCATAAGCTTCATTCTAAAGGTGGGGGTCGTATGAGAGCTGTAACTGTCTTGTTTCCAGTCAAATAGATGGTGATGTCATTTTAAACCCTTATAATAAAAGAAGCTGAACTCACAATTTTTTTTCCTACTGAAAGTCGACCCATTTTTCCACAAATCTGAGCTGTAAACTATAAACAGATGGCGTCTCTTCAGTGATCTGCTCTGTAAAAATGATTTTTATAAAATAATACAAAGAGCGTCTCAGATTTTTGGCTTTCAGCAGTAAATTGTAAGCATATAGCAATATGTGTGATCATAAAACACATGTTCTGTTAATTTGAGGGGAACTTTTACAAAAAAAAAAAAAATTATAAATAAAAATTTACATTTATTTCGTTCAGTTACTGAATATGCAGATATGAATGTCTGAACGTATGCAGGTCAAGTAAGTGTGTGCCATAAAGCATCACTGCTGTCGGAACAAAACCTCATCTCCATTTTTATCATTTTTCAGTTTTTGACATAATTTGAATATTCCTGTTGTCTTTTACATTGTTTGTAAATTACGTGAAGAATGGACCAAAAAAACGGCCCAAAACTACTTAGTACTTACTTACTTCCATTCACTTACATTAAAAGTAAAGTAGGTTTTTTCCTTCTTCTGTAAAAGTTCCATTTTGGAGATACAATGTTTTGTTCTGACAACAGAGATATACTATAAAACTATTATAACCACAGCATTACAGAGTAATATGTACATTTGTAAACATTTACTTGTACAGTAGTGCAAATAAACATTCGGCTACAGGAGGAGTTCAGTCTAAGTTTGAAAGACAGAAATAACCAGCTAATTTCTTTGGTGCTAAAACAAGATTAATCAACAGCTGCATCAAAAAAAGAGAAAAACATTATTTATTTAATCTCTGGGCAGCCACGCTAGACAACATTCCTAGATGCTCACCTATCTGACGCTATTGTTCTCTTGGCTAGAAGTAGACGTGTCTCCAGAAGCAGCGTCCAGAAAGCGCAGTGTGATCCCCCAGACTGTGTAAACTGCTGATTAACGGCTTCTGTTTTCAAGCTGCACACTGAGAAGAGTTGACCGCTGGTTCTGTTTTCTCTCCTCTCAGAGACAAACTCCTGACCTGACGGGGTTCAACTGGTGAGAAAGCACACAGACATTCCCCATCACATCCTAACATAGCACACCTTCACTGTCCTGTACTGCGGTAGGAGCAGTGATCCAGCAGGCCGTGTGTTCAGCAGCGTTCATGTTATTGTTGAGAAAAGGTTTAGCGGGCGGCTCAAACCATGCATCTCACCACCAATCCATCCGTGTTTGTAGAATATTCCACCAAATTTTGAGTATAACTCAGTGTGTGAGATGTAATCAGAGAGATTCAGAGTGGTTTGGTGTGAAATGGTTCAGACATCTTTACAGTGGTGGTGATAGGAACCAGGGGTCACCATGACTACAACACAAATATAGACATTTTATTTACTATCCAGAACCACCAGTGAACCTACACGAGTCTTCTGAGTTTATATGGAATGTTGATGATGGAAAATAGTGGAAAATCTGAAATAATAAGTTTACTTTGGGGACTATTTTGCCTCACAGCGCCCTGCATGTATCCCTCCACCATGAATGGAGTTTAGGTTCTCTAAACTATCATAAAACAGTGTCTCAGTCATCAGGCAGTGAATTCATAACCATTTCATGTAGGAACTTTCTGTGAGGGAGCTTTTAGAGGTGGACGTCTGGTTCCTATCACCACCACTGTGAACAGTTCTGACTCTAGACCAGAGCGTTTCACACCAAACCACTCTGAACCACTCTGTTTACATCTTAACCACTTAATTATGCAGAAAACGTTACTGTCTATGCTTTATGAGTTTAACATTTTGGGGAAAAAATGAAACATGAAATGTGGGCTGTACAAAAGTTTGGCACATTTTATATTTCCTGTTTTTTATTTTTTTCTAGTATGTTAAACTTAGCAAGTAAATAGAAACTGTGCACAAAAATTAGTGTTCTAATTTTTCTGTAGAGGTTGTGTTAAATTACACTTAGAAAAACAACACAACATTTAATTGGACTAGGGGTGTTTAAACCTTTGCATACAACTCTATATTTCTGTTTGTTTTTTTCTGTTAGTTTGTGAGAGAAACTGAATAAAAATATATGGATTGGTTTTTTATATATCAAATAAATTAATGAAGTAGAACAGATATATATAGTCACATTTTTGTAAAAGCCCTAAAGAGTTTTCTTGAATTATACGCAAATCAGTTAAAACAAAGGAATACATGATAATATCACAATCATCGATTTTGGAAAATAATGATTTTTTTAAATTATCACTGTTTAGATTTGACCAATGTTTCTGATATTTGATATATTTAATGATGACATATATTAAATCCCAAAAGAACAGAATATGTAGGTGATGTTGGGTTACTGCACTAAAATATCTCCATTTTGCTTTCAATCCTAAATAAAATTTATATTAATATTTATCCCCAATATGAGCTTCAGCCCACAGTTCCCATATCAGTGCATCCATAGCTGAAACATATCAGGACGACTCGCATTACAACTAATGCATTTGACACAATAATACAGAATTCACTCGATTCTAGAACGGAACTGTCTGTTTTATAATAAATAAATACTTAATTTGGCTCTGAAGTGCTGGTCAGTTCAAAGGAAATGTGTGGGTCTGTCAGGTTTGCAGGTAATATGGACCGTACAGAGGCCAAGAGTCTGCTGATGTCTCGCTCTGATGGGACGTTTCTGGTTCGGCAGAAAGACGGAGGAGAATTCGCCATCAGCATCAAGTACCTACAGCATTCATACACATCCATCATCACTGTCCAATAAAACATGAATCTCCAAAACAGTAACTGGACAGGAGAGAGCAAAAACGTTATTAAAGGAGCTCTACATGATTCTGGTGAACAACTGTTGATATTTGAACTCAACAGCAAAACAAATACAAACCTCCCTTCAGTGCTCCGTCAGAAGCTCCGCCCCCCAAATTCATGGATGCACATTGCTGTGGCGAACAGCACTTTTTTAGTTCTTTGCATTCATAAAACTCTTCACAAACATTGTACAGAAAAATACCATGACATAACATTAGAGTGAACAATGATGCAGCAAGTAATGTACCTAACATTAGCTCAGCTGTGGGTTAGCAAACTGTCGCTACAGTTGCTGCTGTGAAGCAAAACAGCTGCTATCACAAACATTCTCAAACAGAACAATACTGACTTACTGATTCTGTGAAACAGCAAAATGTTACCCGCCTGTCCAGGAGGAGCAGCCTCCTCATCCGTTTTCAAGCATTTAAGCTCTCAGTGAAGCTGAAGTCAGCTTTGTTTTCACCAGCTTCTTGTTTGAATCTTCCTGTTCCACCTTAAGAGGTGCAGCAGTTAAGACTACATTCGGGCGCCTCAGCTTCTTGGTCGAATTTTCCCGTTCCACCTTAAGTGATTCACGCACAATGCTGTCACTGTTTGGGGTAGGCAAAACAAAACGTGGGGAGGGCTGGACCGGCTACAGGCTATTAAAACAAAAAACAGAGAAACTCTTTACATAGAAAACAGCAGTTTTCTGCTATATTCATGTTTAAAATGTCATATATATCATCTTTAACTTTTAACGTACGTTAACGTAAAGAGGTTTTATTCTCAGTAATCTTGGAGCTTTTCTATTGGTCCATTCATCATGAAATGCTCATGCAATGTTCACAAGCAGCTGCTGAGCTCAGAAGATGAATAAAAATGAAGATGCAGGTTTGTTTTGGACAGCGATGATACACTTTAATGAGCCTCAGGAGAATCACCATCAACCAACCAAATAAACTGATCCTCTCTCTCTCTCTCTGGATCTCTCTCTCTCTCTCTCTCTCTCTCTCTCAGGTTTAATATGGACATCAGGCACATTAAGATCACTCTGGCTGAAGGTCTCTACAGGATCAATGATAAGAAAGCCTTCAAAGGGCTCATAGTGAGTAACACTGTTCTCTCCACGTTCTCGCTCTGACACGCCTGACTGAACCCATCAGCTCATTAAGGCCTTCCTGAGGTTCAAAGGGTTTTACAGCAGGAACCAAGACTTCTGAGTCTCGATCTTCTCAAGACTGATTTCCTTGATTGTGGTCTTTTTGGTATTTTTATGTTGCTCTTTTTCGTCCTGCTGTTTAGATCTAATTATTTTTGATCTTGGTCTTATGGATCTTGTTTTTAATTATTGTAATATTGATTTTGCCACATTTAATCTTGTTTCTTTTTTATCTTGTTTTTGTTCATCTTGATGTTTTTAAGTTTTTAAGTCAGGGTCTTTTTGAGCTTGTTTTTCTTGCTTTTGATCTTTATTTCTCTCTCTCGTTCTCCTTCTCTCAGGACCTGGTTCAGTACTATCAGGAGAACACTCTGAAGGAGTGTTTTAAAGACGTAGATACTCGCCTCCAAATCCCCTTCAAACAGCCGGAGCAGAGCGGGTCCTCTTACACACACCAACCTACCAGAGGTAACACGCATCTCTTACATATACATATACACTGTAAAAACGCTGTAAAAACAAAACAGTGAAGTATTCAGAGCTTAAATATTTACGAGGATTATGTTCTGATCTATTTGAGCCTAAGACATTAATAGAGATAGTAATAAGTAATAAAATAGTAATAAACTAGTAATAAAAATCATAATAAAATAAATAAAATAGTAATAAAATAGTAATAAAAATCATCATTTATAGGGTAGTTTCTATTAGGAGGAGTCTGTCCCAAACCCTAACCCCTAAATTTACACTAATAAAAATAATTTACATTCATAAACAATTACATTTGTGTTGTTTTTTTAAATATCTTTGCAAGTTGAAAGATTTAGATTTGTCCTTGGCTTCATTTTTAAATACAAAAAAAAGCTGTTCCACGTTTTCTTTTCACTACTGAAACACAGAGTTTTAGCCAATGGGCGGAGCTTTATTTTAGCCACACCCCTGCATTTTAGAGCAGGAAGTGAGGCTGCATCCCTGTCCCTCATGGCCACATGGTGAGCAGTTAGATCCCATTGTTTTGTAAATGTGTCCCAAAGTCTGAAAATCAGTGTGGAACATTAAGAATCATTAAGTTCAGCACTTTTTAGTGTTTTAACGTAAAATATGATGATTTTCTGTGTGAACAGCTGTTCAAAGCTGTGTTTACTGGTCATGAACTGGCTGAGTTTTTGAGCTCAAAATGAGCTAAAATTAATTGTCACTACCGAACAGTCACTACTCAAACATCTGGTAAAGTTTGGGTAGAGTTATGATTGTTTCAGTAGTGACAAAGTGGAATGATCAGTCATTAGTTTTAATAAAATAAACATAATTAAGGTTTAGAGTCACTCAGAGCAAAAGGATTTCAGTCTAAATCCATACATACACACACAACCTCTCCTCGTGGCTGTCCAGTTATATATATATATATATATATATATTATATATATATATATATATATATAAAAAATTTTATCTAACCATAATTTAATATTTACAGTACTGGTAATATTTACAGGTTTTACTTCATGGCTGTAAAGATACTATGTATCATTAGAACAGATGCAAGTAAACATAAACTCTGTAAAATTTCTCAACTACTCTAAAAACTGGTTTATATCTCGTGAGCAAGTTTGAAGTACAAAGGTTGGTTTAGACGCGAATTAATTTAACAAATTCTGTCATCAGCAGCGCCTGATTTTACATAAAGCCTGGATGATAATACTGCATTTCCTCCAGGAGAGAAATGGTTAAACACAAACATTGACATTTGTATTAATGTTATTTTAGATTTATTCATAGTGCCCAATTTAATATCTCGTTAAATATATGTATATATATATCGTCACTGTCCAAAGAAAAACAGGTGTTTCCCTTTTTTTCATTTGGTCATCCTAGCACAACAGACGTCCTTTACATTGTGTTAAATTTTCATGACGAATGGACCAACAGAAATGCTCCAAAATTGCTGGGAATAGAATTCCTTTACATTAACTTACACTAAAAGCAAAGAGTGTTTTTGCCCTCTACTGTAAAGTTACTCTATTGGACATATTTGTTTTATATATGTATATGTGTATCGCTACTGTAGGAACCAAACCTCATATCTGCAAAAACTTTACAGGAGAAAAAAAAACGTATTTATAATTTATATAATCTATAAATCTATACACAATGAGCAACAGGCATTTTTTCAAATGATGTCAAAAACTAAAAAACAACAAAGGTCTGGGTATGTGTAGGTTTCAGTTTCAGCTAAATCTCTGCACTGTGTGTGTGTGTGTGTGTGTGTGTGTGTGTGTAGGTGTGAGTGAGCGCTACTTTGGTACGGCTAAAGTCCGGTATGATTTCTCTGCGCGGGACCGTACTGAGCTCTCTCTGAGAGAAGGAGACACTGTGAAAATCATCTCAAAGAAAGCACACAACGGCTGGTGGAAAGGAGAGGTGTACGGCAGGGTAAGACACACATATGTGTTATTGGTTTTGTCAGGATATGTATGTATATATGTGTATAACTTATATATGTGTCTACTTATATCTTTAAGTAGCTATTTGTCATCATAAAGTGGTGTCTTAGTAGTTAGAGCTGTTGGTGACTGATCAGCGTTGTGGAGTCTGCTAAGTTGCCACTGTTGGGCGTTGATTAAGGCACTTAACCCTCTCTGTGCTCTGTCATTTTGTACTGTGCATGTATAATCACAATACATATTATAATGTCTGATCTGTATTATATACAAGTACTTACATGTAATAATAATGATATATTACATATGAGTACTTACGTTTAATAACAATATGTTCCATATTTATTATACATATACACCGATTAGGCATAACATAATGACCATTTTATCAGCTCCACTTACTATATAGGTGCACTTTGTAGTTCCACAGTTACAGACTGTAGTCCATCTGTTTCTCTGATACTTTGTTAACCTGTTCTTCAGTGGTCAGGACCCCCATGGACCCTCACAGAGCAGGTACTATTTGGGTGATGGGTCATTCACAGCACTGCAGTAACACTGACGTGGTGGTGGTGTGTTGGTGTGTGTTATGCTGGTACGAGTGGATCAGACACAGCAGTGCTGCTGGAGTTTTTAAACACTGTGTCCACTCACTGTCCACTCTATTAGACACCCCTACCTTGTCGGTCCACCTTGTAGATGTAAAGTCAGAGACGATAGCTCATCTGCTGCTGCACAGTTTGTGTTGGTCATCCTCTAGTCCTTCATCAGTGGTCACAGGACGCTGCCCACAGGACGCTGTTGGCTGGATGTTTTTGGTTGGTGGACTATTCTCAGTCCAGCAGTGACACTGAGGTGTTTAAACACTCCAGCAGCACTGCTGTGTCTGATCCACTCAGACCAGCGCAACACACACTAACACACCACCACCACGTCAGTGTTACTGCAGTGCTGAGAATGATCCACCACCCAAACAGTACCTGCTCTGTGAGGGTCCATGGGGGTCCTGACCACTGAAGAACAGGGTAAAAGGGGGCTAACAAAGTATGCAGAGAAACAGATGGACTACAGTCTGTAACTGTAGAACTACAAAGGGCACCTGTATAGTAAGTTTCCCAGACAGGGGTTAAGCCTAGTTGTATTATTATATATGTTATTTTTTTCTTTAAATGGAGAATCTCCATTAAAAAAGTCCGGTTTAGTCCAGGAAACATGTCCTGTATGTAAAATTAATTTTCTAAGCCTAATCCTAACCTTGACATTAACCCAAGGAATCAAAGGAAGCAAATAAACAGTTTCGCCTATTGCAGAAAAAAAAAACAGGTCTGGGCGATTTGTTGTTAGTCCTGTAGTTTAGTCCTGTTTTTGTTCTGAAACTATAGAAAAACAAACCAAAATATCAGACACACCCATGAAAGTAATCAATAATCTTTTAGATTTTTCCGTTCTCCTGTTTACTGTGTTTTTATTTGTTTGGTTATTTGTTTCTCTGTAGGTGGGGCTCTTTCCTGCTAACTACGTGGAGGAGGAACATTCAGACTACTGCTGATTCACTGATTCATTCACACACACACTGACTCTTTGAATCTCTCAGTCCTGACTCCAGCTGTGTGGAAGGCTGAACACTGCTGACTCTGATTCACTGAGTCATTTACACACCGAACCTTTCGGCTCCGATTCCAACTCTGTAGAACAGCAACATTCCAAATATTGCTGACTCACTGACTCACTGTGAGTCATTCACAAGCTGAGTGATTCTTCAAATCTCTCTGTTCTGACTCTTTGAATCATATTTACTTGTTGTTATTTGCAATGTATTTCATGTAAATTGCCCTTCCCAGTCTACGCTCTCAAAATGAGAATACAGTGAATATAATGTTTTATAAGAACACATCAAAGCGATTCTTATACATGCAATTGACTCACAATTGACTCCTCGACTCATAATGAACTGTAACAGTGAAATCTCTTCAGAACTGTTTCTCGGTTCTGCTCTCTGTTATGAAAGAAGAACGTGAGAAGAACGCAACCCAAACAGTCTATAAAAAGAATGAATATATAAAACTATGAATCATATGAATCGATGTGTAAAAAGAATAAAAAAGGAATCACTTTTATTTTGGTTTATTCCACGTTTCGAAATATAGACATTTTTCAGGACATTTTGGCCAAAGGCTCTCAAAAACATACCACAATGCACTTCATCTGACAATTAACCAAACATTTTGCAACCATGGCAGCACGGACAAGCCCACCCAAATAAAAACTGTTGATTTGATGCTTTGGTAGATCTGTAGAACAGTATGAGCTCAAAAATTCACACTTACAATCAAAGCTTTCTTTGCAAAGATTCACTGAGTCGTTCAGAGAGTCACTTCTGGTACGTTTTTCACTGACTGAGTTAATCAATCACTGTTTTGGGCACTTAGATTGATTATGATTGTAAGACGAGGGGTATTTAATTGTAAGTAGTGGGGAATAGAAAGGGTGGGGGTCTTAGAGGATCAAGCCTCAGAGCTTCTGAAGTATGTAATGCCTTGCCTGAATTTGTGTGACACTGTCTGTAACTTTGATTCAATAAAATTCAACTGTGGTGACTGAAACCACAACATGATAACATGCAGCCGACCAATCATTACACAAGTATTTACACGGTAATGTCACTTGTGTTTGTATAGAGATGCCTGCAGACTGCACAAACTCACAGAACACCACATGAAATACTGATGCTCGCTGGCCATTTCATTAGAAACGCCTTCATTACAGCTCCACTATGTAGGTGTACGGTCACAGACTGTAGTCCATCTGTTGTTGCACAGTTTACCCTCTACCCCAAATGGCCAATGAGTATTTCACAAGGTGTCTCCATTGGTCTGTACAGCCCCTGTATAGATCATTCTGCCAAAGTGGCTCGAAGTCATAGTTAAAAACACATTTGGGACTTTTAACTGACCTGAACTTTAGACCAAAATCCTTTTGCTTTGAGTGACCTTATAACTTAATTATGCTTATTTTATTAAAACCAATGATAGAACATCCCAAAACAATCATAACTCTACCCAAACGTTTCAGTAGTGACTGTTTCGGGGACAATTTTAGCTCATTTTGGGCTCAAAAACACATCCAGTACACGACCAGGAAACACAGGTTTGAACAGCTGTTCACATTGAAAATTAGCAGATTTTTCATTAAACACTAAAACTACTAAATTGCAGAAAATCTGTTTTGGTAAAGACAAAATGTTCCACACTGATTTTCAGACTTTGGGACACATTTAATTCAAAACAATGGGATCTAACTGGGCGGCACAGTGGTGCAGTGGGTAGCGCTGTTGCCTCACAGCAAGAATGGCCTGGGTTCGATTCCCAGCCAGGCGGCCAGGGTCGTTTCTGTGTGGAGTTTGCCTGTTCTCCCTGTGTCTGCGTGGGTTTCCTCTGGGTACTCCGGTTTCCTCCCACAGTCCAAAAACATGCAGTCAGGCTGATTGGACAGGCTGAATTGCCCCTAGGTGTGAATGTGTATGTCTGTCTGTCTGCCCTGCGATGGACTGGCGACCTGTCCAGGGTGTATCCTGCCTTCCGCCCAATGACAGCTGGGATAGTTTCCAGCACCCCACCGTGACCCAGAAGGAAAGGCGGTTTAGATGATGGATGGGATCTAACTGCTCACTATGTGGCCATGGGGGACAGGGATGCAGCCTCACTTTCTGCTCTAAAATGCAGGGGTGGGGCTAAAATGAGGCCCCGCCCACATAATAAAACTCTTTGTTTCGGTAGTGACATGAAAGTGAGAGACAGCATTTTTTTTATTCAAAAACTAAACTCATGATCAATCTTTCAACTTCACATCAAACAACAGAAATCAGAAAACGTATTGTGGTCTTTCAGATTGTTTATGGAAATAATGGATTCACATCAAAAGAAACAACAACAACAAAAAAACGATATTAAAAAACAAACAAACAAAAATGTAAGTATTATCTTCTCAAGTGTGAATCTAGAGGTTAGGGTTTGGGACACACAACTCCCAAAAGAAAGCACCCTATAAATGATGAGTTTGTATATATTCAGCTTATTACTGTCTCTATTAATATCTCTATTATTTTACCAAATTTGTTCGAACTGCAGTTCCACAGTAAAAACTATTAAATTTAAACTTTTAAATCCTTCATTCACTTCTATTATAAGTGGATTTTAAGTCAACAGGTTTTCTGTTTGTGCAGCGACTGCAAACTACAGATACAGCACATTAACAAAAGGCTGAAAAAACACTGAAGTATTTCTTTCAGCATATTTTAATCTGTGGGCTGAACTTTTCAAACTTTTTTAAAACTTTTTGCATAATTAAATAATAATTTTCTTAGTTCTTTGAATTTTACCTTCAGACATCAATAAACAAATTCAATGGCTTAATGTATATAAATATCTTTTATTTCCAAATATCAAAAAAATTCAACTGAACAAATATTTCCTGGCTTTAGCGATGATCTATCTAATAGACAATACCCATTTTTCTGGTAATATGTGGTTGACAATGTTTCTGTGAATGGGATCAGTTGTGTACAGACTTAAGGGGGGCGGGGGGGGTGGGGGGGTCAGGGTCTGGGGTGCATGATTTCTCTCAGTTCTGCCCTCTACTGGTAATAAAGCTCAAGATTCATCCCATCATGGATCTCATCTGATGAAAAGAAATCAAGGAGAACACACGTACACATATTGGACTAAAACACAAATTCTTGATTATTTTTACAAACTTCAGCAAAAATGGTGAGACAGTTTTGGATACGCAAATAGAAACAGTGATCTGTGAATTATATAAATCTGTATGTACACAAACGTACTGAGATGTTCAAGGTTTTACCTGATCAATGTAATTGTTTTTTTAAATATACACTCATTCTGAAATTGATGTCTGCGAAAGTCCAAAATTTGAAGAGAAGGAATTTAAAACCTTTATGAGCAAGGATAGGTTGAGACCACTTTGGCCAAAAATCCAACAGCTGAAGAATAATATTCCTCAATGAGGAATGGGTCTGCATTACCTCTACCATGTATAATATCATTTAAATTCATTGAATAAGATTAAGGGAATCTGGAAAAACCTGTGTGTAAAAAGGACAAGGCTGAAATCCGTAACTGAATGTCTGTGACCTGCATTAAAAACCTGCATGTTTCTGTGATCGAGATCACCCACACGTTCTCGGGAATACTTTGACAAACCGTTGTCGTCAAAAACTGTCCATCGATTCCACAAATGCAGGTTAAGACTGTATTCTGCACATTGGAAGTTGTATTTCAACAATGTCCAGAAACGCCGCCGACTTCTCTGGGCTCGAACTCATCTGAAATGGACTGATGCTCAGTGGTCTTTCAGATAATTTATAAGAATAATGGACGTTGTGTTTTCTGGGCCAAAGAAGAAAAGGACTATGCAGATTGTTACCAGCGTAACAAGTTCAAAATCCAGGGTCTGTCATGGGGGGTTTATTGGGTAACCTGCATCTGTGGAAGCACCGTTAACGCTGAAAGATATATATTTTGGAGCAACATACGCCACCTTCTCTATGTAATTTTTGGACATGCGTTTTTAACATGACAACACCAAGATCCCGCAAGATTGCACAGCTGAAAATGGAAGAAAGGCAACAAATTCCACTTTCAAAACTGGATCGGTTTGTGTGTTCAGTCCCCAAACGTTTAGTAAGTGCTGGTAAAAAGGCGACGTTACAGCGGCAAACATGCTTTTGTCCCATCTTTTGTTGCAAGCATCATATTTGGAACAAGCAAATATTTACCAAAAAAAAAAATCATAATGTAAAAATTTTAAATTGTTGCCAATATCGATTTGAAGGGGCTAAAAATTAGACAATATCAGCTAATATAATTTCATATTTGAAGTTTATATTTTAATATTATACTGTAATATTTTTAGTTGAACAGAGCAGAAACTCAATCTTAAATAGTATCAAACTTGTAGGACTGGTGGGTTGGGACTACCCAGAATACTTTGTGGTTTTGTTTTCTGCTAGTTTTTCATCAGTTGTTTGTGTTTTGTGTTGTCGTCTCTTGTTCTAAAGGATACAGTCTCCCAGTGTTACATGATCCTTGAATATGGTGTACCTGCGAGAGAGAAACGGAGGAAAAATGAGGTTAAATAGTTACAAATCTGAGGAAATCTGTAGACATCAGTGACAGTACTGCATAATAATGTGGAAGTAGATCATCTACTCCTCCAAAGTCCAGCAATTCATACAGTAAACGCCTTTATAGGATGTATAATGATGTAAGATATAATCCAGCAAAATGATGAGTTTGTTGAGGGCTACTGTTTTACAGCCAGCATCAATTATGAATCAATAAAGCCTGAAAATGGCAGAACGTCATCACAGCAGTGCTGAAACAGCAGCAGACCTTTACGTGGTGGTGCAAGACTAAATAGAGTGATAAGTGGGCTTGATCTGCTGTGTTAGTCTATTACGCCATCTAGTGTTGATTTTAAAATATCACATTGTCACGGTAAATGCTTCTTTAGAGGTAGGCAAAAATATAATACTGCGACACTTCAAGACATTTTCACGATATTGTTTTTTTCAGACATCTGATCAGTTGGAACAGAAAAAAAAAAGTATTGCAATCTTTTAAAAAAGTACTATTAAAAACTGTAAACACAGTGATTTTTATTCAATATTTGGCACTAAATCCAGTTAAACAGGACGAATTTTGCTCTTTTTATGATGAATCATGCAGTCAGTCAGTGTTTACAAGCACTGATGATACACACAATATGCTCAGAAATGCATCATTTATTGTGACATAATTCATCATGATAACAATATATATTGTCATATCGCCCAGTTCTGTGTTTCTTACAATATAATAGTCTAATATAGACATTCTCAGACCATATTAAGTAAGTTCTGGACCTTGTTTACTGCCTATTTGTATTTTTTTTCTGCTCTAGCATCCCTGAATTAGTTCATAAAAAACTTCATAATAAGGGTGTGCATGGGTATGTATTCGGTTAACCGCTCCATGTGCCAGAATTCTAATACTAAATGTGTTAACACAACTGTAAAGTATGCTAGTTTTGCTTGTATTCATGATTATGTTATGAAATTCCACCTATTTTTCAAATTTTCTAGTCGTTCAGAGTGGTTTGGTGTGAAAATGTCTATATCTGTGTTGTAGTCATGGCGACCCCTGGTTCCTATCACCACCACTGTAAAGACATCTGAACCATTTCAAAACCAAACCACTCTGAATCTCACACACTCAGTTATCAAGGAATTTTGTGGAAAGCTGGTGGAATTATTATTTAATAATAGAAATAATGACGCAGATTTACTTTGCTCATGAAAAAAACAGTCTCACCATTTCTTGAGGACAATTTTGTCCCATCGAGTGCCGGTCTGAGCAGCAATCAGCTTCTTCAGATCTCCGATAGTGTCCTCAGAGCTGCACACAGACTGTTAAGGCCATGTATTTTCACACAGGACACAAAGACAACCTTAGTAAGAGCTGTGTGTACGTTCTCTGTGAGAACAACGATACAGCAGAACAACATACTGCAACATACACCTCTGACGTTTTCTCCTCACTCTGTCGTCAGAGTTTTGCCCGTATTAGGAACTCCAAGGTTCTAAGCTGGTTCTTACGGTGGCCGACAAGACCCTATTAATAGCACAATTAAAACACTGTAAACTCATAATCGCCCTGCAAACACAGAGAACACTTTCATCAACGTGACGACACCTGAACTGCATTTCGCAAACGCACTGCAAATTAAAGAAAACATACAACTTCGAAACGCTGCCAAACCAGTCACAACACAGTGGAGGTGAAGTGTTTCTGGAAGACTCAAAGGGCTCAAAGTGGATGGAATATCTACGATGGAAAATCCCTGACAGAAGATCAAACCACCGACACTCAGACTCTCACATCCACAGTTCATGGTTAACCTGGCTAGTTTTCAGTCCGACTGTCGCAGCTGTACTGTGGTTGTTAACCTGGTGTTACTAGTTAAACGTTTACAGTGACTCTACAGCTGATTCCCATTACGATACAGTGGTGTCAGTAATCCGCCCATGCGAAAGTTGACTCACTTTCACCGGTGAATGTTTGGGCTGTATAGAATTTAAGTCTGAGTGGCTCCGCCCTCTCCGAGTGTCCTCCAGAAACACCTCCGCTGTGTTGTGACTGACTTATCAGCGTTTCTGAAGTTGTATGTGTTTCTGTATTTCCAGTGTGTTTCTGAAAGGTAGCGTCGGTGCCGTCATTCTTAGGAAAGAGCTTTCTGAGTTTACAGAGCGTCTAAACCAATTTGCAGCGTGTTTGTAAAAAGCAGTGCCCATGTTTGCAGTTTGCTGGGTCTTCTCAGCCACCGTAGGTTCTCTCTATGGGGAAAAACGAAAGGCCTTTTCAGAAAATCAACCCAACGACGTCCTGCGCTGAACAACAACGGCACGACACGCGTCGCTGTATAGACACTCTTCATCCAAACGTCACTGGAATCTCTGATTACTGAGCGCGGTAAAGAGCTGAACCCTCTCATGGTGCGGCGCCTTATCAGGGTGAGGAGGCTTGAATGCGCCAGAGAAGCAGTGAGCTATACTTGCAGAAGAGTCTTAGCCGAGGTGCCAGACTGAACCCACTCTTAAAAATATGGTTCCTCAAGGGTTCTTTAGTAAAGAAAATGGTTCTATATAGAACCACGAACACTCTGCATGATGAAAGCGTTCTCTGCATCGTGATCAGGTTCTTCAGATTGATGGAAAATGTGCCGTAGATGGTTCTGTGTAGAACCTTTTCAAAAAGGGGTTCTATGTAGCACCCGAAAGAGATCTACTATTGTTACAAGATTGACGTGATAACAGTAGAAGAACCCTTTTGTGTTCCAAAAAGGTTCCATACAGAGCCATCTACGGCACATTGTTAAGATCGCTTTCATGACGCATGGAATCCTTTAATCATGCAAAGGGTTCTTTGAGCGTTCATGGTTAGTTAGTTTAGTTTATGACAGTTTAGTTCGTTATTTATTCTGTATGTTTTCAGTTTAGTTTATTTTCACTGTATGTAAAGTGTTCATCAGCATGCTTGACTGGAATTGTATGGACTTTTCAGCCTTGCTAACTTACGCAGGGCAATATAAGCGCAATACTAGTAAAGGCGTCCGTATCACGCAGCCGTAATTTAAACTAGTAATTCTTTAAAACAAATAAATAACATTTGATTAATCGTCACGGCCAGAGCTGCTAAAACGCTTCATGTTTGAGTGAAGAATATGTATATCAATACAAAAGAGATTCACAGGGCTGCGGTCTGGTCTGAAAGATGGTCAGGATGACCGCGGTGATGATTCCAGAAGTGACCAGTGAGCTGAAGGTTTTTTAAAGGATACTTGCACTTGACCCGGACTTTCTTGCCCAGTCGGTCGTTACACACCACTTCAATCATCTCTGCACTTCTGACCTGCAAAACAGTAAAGAGACATTATTAACAACCGATGCTAACGGAATACGAGAGTTCATGAATATGTGGAAAGGCGGACCGTAAAAGTGGTTTGGTGTGAAACGCTCTGTTCTAGATAAACTTACCGAGTCAGAACTGATCACAGTGGTGGTGATAGGAACCAGACGTCCACCTCTAAAAGCTCCCTCACAGAAAGTTACTACATGAAATGGTTATGAATTCACTGCCTGAAGTCTGAGACAGTGAAATTTATTTTTTATTATTTCTGATTCTCCACTATTTTCCATCATCAACATTCCATATAAACTCAGAAGACTCGTGTAGGTTCACTGGTGGTTCTGGATAGTAAATAAAATGTCTATATTTGTGTTGTAGTCATGGCGACCCCTGGTTCCTATCACCACCACTGTGAAGACATCTGAACCATTTCACACCAAACCACTCTGAATCACTCTGTTTACATCTCAATCACTGGATTTATATAGAAATTTTGAAAAATAAAAAATTGGTGGAGTTCCCCTTTGAGTGTTGGTTGCAACTACAATCAATTTTCATTCCATATTTTCTTTCTCTTTTTAGCAGTTATATTAGCAGATCCCTAGACGGTTTAAGATCGGATTTCTGTTGAGGCCAGTGTCTGATTAACCTGTACTTGTTAAGAAAGTCTTAAACGGGAATTCCACCAATATTTCAAAACTTCTGCACAGTTCAGTGTTTTAGATCTAAACAGTCTTTCAGAGTGGTTTGGTGTGAAATGACTGTAAACACTTTATAAACCACCAGTGAACCTACACGAGTCTTCTGAGTTTATATGGAATGTTGATGATGGAAAATAGTGGAAAATCTGAAATAATAAGTTTTCTTTGGGGACTATTTTGCCTCACAGCGCCCTGCATGTATCCCTCCACCATGAATGGCGTTTAGGTTCTCTAAACTATCATAAAACAGTGTCTCAGTCATCAGGCAGTGAATTCATAACCATTTCATGTAGGAACTTTCTGTGAGGGAGCTTTTAGAGGTGGACGTCTGGTTCCTATCACCACCACTGTGAACAGTTCTGACTCGGTTAGTTTCTCTAGAACGGAGCGTTTCACACCAAACCGCTCTGAATGACTCTGTTTACATCTTAACCACTTAATTATGCCGATATTTTGAAAATTCGGAGGAATTCCCCTTGAATACTTAAGCGTATGAACGGTTTGCTACATCAGCAGCATGGGATTATAAAGGTTATAACGCTTCATAAAACGGTATGTACACGGTGCGCGCTCACCCCCGCAGGCCTGCATTAATGCGGATATAAATATCTATGCAGAAATGCGCTTAAATAAAGATTTATACTGTGATTTTTACCAAATCCGCTGTTTTTCCCGAGAAAACAAAACCTCCTCCTCCGCGAAGACAACGAGGACCGTCTTCAGAGAAACACGCCGAGGGCGACAACCAATCAGACGCGCGAGAAGCCTTGATTGACGTGAGAGAGTGACCAATGACATAAGAGATCCGCGGAAAATAGGGCGGGACCGACCGTCGACTGTGAATGTCGTAGGCGGAAGTGTCATAAGAGCACGACGTAAATAATAAACTTAAAACGCGAACTAGTTAAAATACGATACTGAAGTTTTTCTTCCCTTCCCTTTTGATGAAACGTTTATCTTCTTTTAACTCATTTATAATATCATGGACATTTGTATTATTAATAACTTCTTCAGTCATGCACATTCAATGTTTTTTGTGACTTTTAATGCGCCCTATTTATGTATTTATTTACAAATGAAAACTCGCTTATCTTTTTTAAATTTTGCATCCACTGGGAAATTACACCTCCTATTTTATGAATTGATTGAGAAAATCCTCCTCTTTTAATTAATTCATTTCTTTTACTTGATTCTTTATACAGGTGCAGTTTTTTAAATAGTGTTCACGTCGTTTAGTGCGTCTGTTTTGTTTATTTAGATATTTAGATCTTTTTATTTTATTTTATTTTTTATTTTTATTTTATCTTATTTTTTTATTTTATTTTTTAATTTATTTTATTTTATCTTATTTATTATTTTATTTTATCTTATTTTATTTTATCTTACTTTATTTCATTTTATCTCATTTTATTTTATTTAATTTTATTATTTTATTTGATTTTTTTATTTTCTTATTTTATTTTATTTTTTTATTTTATTTTATTTATTTTATTTTGCCCCGCCCCCTGTCGGATTGAGGTGGGACTGCAGTGAGCAGCAGCGCTGTAGTTGCCGCTACCCCGCCCGTGTCTCTGTAGTTTTAGTTGTCTGATCATGTCTGACGATGATAAACTGCCGTCTGGGTGGGAGAAGCGCATGAGCCGGAGTTCAGGTACCCTGAGTTCTGCATGAACGAGCCGAGCGGCCCTTCGTTCTAGTAGGAAAGAGCGAATTCCCGCGTTGGTTCTAAGCTAAGCGAACGTAGGTTAGCATTAGCCCGCGGCTCCATTCAGCAGCAGTGCGTTAGCATTAGCCAGCACCTCCATTCAGCAGCAGTGCGTTAGCCCGCGGCTCCATTTAGCAGCAGTGCGTTAGCATTAGCCCGCGGCTCCGTTCATGTCTTTAAAGACTCTTTAGGTGTTCGGTTCTCTGGTTCTGTGTTCTCTAATAGTCAGAGTGTTTATATCCAGAACGCGGACCGTGAAAATGTACATTAACACAGTTTATCAGGTCAGTAAAACGGCCCTGTGCGGGTTCAGCAACGCTACAGGCTGGAGCAGCGAGTCGGACTGGGTTAATATTCCTAATATTCCTCCTCAGTTTAACTCTGTGTCTTTGAGAAGAAGAAGCTCTTACACTGTGTTAGTGAAAAACAGCTGCCCTAACGTGCAGCTTTACTGCTGGAAAAAAAGAGAGAGTTCCTCAGGGGTTGTTTTGGTGAAGGTAAAGGTTCTGTATAGAATCCTTTGCATCCTTAAATGGTTCTGTGCATGGTTATACAAGCAGTGTAAAAACAGAACCCTTTTTGGTGCTATGTAGAACCACATACAACACATCTCCCTCAGTCTGGCGAATCGTTTTACCATAGAAAAACACTTCAGCATGAAATGGTTCCAGAGAGAACCATTTGCTTTACTAAAGAACCCTTGCAGAGCCATCCTTTTTAAATAGTATATGAAGGACCATTTCATGCTTACATGGTTCTTTGCATGGTGAAATGGTTCTTCAGTTTGATGGAGAATGTGTTGTATGTGGTTCTACATAGACTTTTTTTTTGTTGTTTTTTTTTTTGTTTTTTTTTAAAGGTTCTCTATAGGACCGAAATGATGTTCTATTGTTGCAAGCTTGACAAAGTAACAATGATGCAACCCTTTTTGGTGCTACATAGAACCATTTACAACACGTTATCCAAGCTGAAGAACTGTTTCACCATGCAGAGAACCCTTTAAGCATGCAAATGGGTTGCAGAGGTTCGTGGTTCTACGTAGAACGATTGTTGTTACTAAGGGACCATCCTTTTGTAAGAACCCTGATATCGCAGTCTTATATCGTGATTTCAATGTAAAAACTGTTGATCGTTCAGCCCTTGGTTGGAGTCAGAGCTGTTCACAGTGGTGGTGATAGGAACCAGACGTCCACCTCTAAAAGCTCCCTCACAGAAAGTTCCTACAGTAAATGGTTATGAATTCACTGCCTGATGACTGAGACACTGTTTTATGATAGTTTAGAGAACTTAAACTCCATTCATGGTGGAGGGATACATGCAGGGCGCTGTGAGGCAAAATAGTCCCCAAAGAAAACTGATTATTTCTGGTTCACTGTTGTTTCACCATCATTAATATTCTATTCAAAAGCCCAGAAGACTCGTGTAGGTTCACTGGTGATACAGCGAAGTCTTTAAAAGGCTGTGCGCGGTTTGTTCTGTTAACTCTTTTCTTGGTTTGTTTTTAAAAAAACGAATGACTCTCTCTCTCGCTCTTCCTCGCTCTCTCTCTGTTTCTCACTCTCTCCTCGCTCTTGCGCTCTCTCTTTCTGTTTCTCTCTCCTTCTCTCTCTCTCGCTCTGTCTCTCGCTCTGTTTCTCACCCTCTTTCTCTCTGTTTCTCGCTCTCGCGCTCTCTCTGTTTCTCTCTCGCTCTCTCTCTCTGTTTCACCCTCTCGCTCGCTCTCTCTCTCTGTTTCTCGCTCTCCCTGTTTCTTTCTCGCTCTCTGTTTCTCGCTCTCTCTCTCTGTTTCTCTCTTGCTCTCTGTTTCTCGCTTTCTCTCTCTCTGTTTCTCTCTATTTCTCTCGCGCTCTCTGTCTCTCTCTGTTTCTCTCTCTCTCTCTGTTTCTCTCTGTCTCTCTCTCTGTTTCTCTCGCTCTCTGTTTCTCTCGCTCTCTGTTTCTCTCTCTCTGTCTCTCTCTCTCTGTTTCTCACTCTCTCTGTTTCTCTCTGTTTCTCTGTCTCTCTCTCTCTGTTTCTCTCGCTCTCTGTTTCTCTCGCTCTCTCTCTCTCTCTCTCTCTCTCTCTCTCTCTCTCTCAGGCAGGGTTTACTACTTCAACCACATCACCAACGCGAGTCAGTGGGAGCGGCCGACGGGCGCGGGCGATGGAGCGGGTGCCGTGGACAAGGTGCGCTGCTCCCACCTGCTGGTCAAACACAACCAGTCCCGCAGACCGTCGTCCTGGAGAGAAGAGAACATCACCCGCAGCAAAGAGGAGGCTCTGCAGCTCATACAGAGTGAGAGAACGGGATTGTGTGGGTTAAACTGGGCGAACATTGCAGAACTTAGTCACCCTGAAATCAGAACGGACCTTTTTAACCTGTTAGTTTGTGTATTTTGGTCATTTTAAGCACAATTCATGGTGTCGTATCATTCAAAAGACAAAATTCTCATTATTTTTCATATCTCTGATCAAAGTGTAGTGAGTTTTTCTGCTCCTAAATGCCGTCTGACGTTTAATGGTGTCACTGTGTTTCAGCGGCTGTGAAAAAATGATGCTCACCAATAATATCTTAGCATGTTTTCCCTCCCACTCCCACCACCGTGAACAATCATCAAGCAAAACACCCATTTTATCCATTTTATCAGTTCCACTTACTATATAGGTGCACTTTGTAGTTCTACAATTCATTCTCAGCACTGCAGTAACACTGACGTGGTGGTGGTGTGTTAGTGTGTGTTGTGCTGGTCTGAGTGGATCAGACACAGTAGTGCTGCTGGAGTTTTTAAACACCTCAGTGTCACTGCTGGACTGAGAATAGTCCACCAACCAAAAATATCCAGCCAACAGCGTCCTGTGGGCAGCGTCCTGTGAGCACTGATGAAGGACTAGAGGATGACCAACACAAACTGTGCAGCAGCAGATGAGCTATCGTCTCTGACTTTACATCTACAAGGTGGACTGACAAGGTAGGAGTGTCTAATAGAGTGGACAGTGAGTGGACACAGTGTCTAAAAACTCCAGCAGCACTGCTGTGTCTGATCCACTCGTACCAGCACAACACACACTAACACACCACCACCACGTCAGTTTTACTGCAGTGCTGAGAATGATCCACCACCCAAATAGTACCTGCTCTGTGAGGGTCCATGGGGGTCCTGACCACTGAGGAACAGGGTAAAAGGGGGCTAACAAAGTATCAGAGAAACAGATGGACTACAGTCTGTAACTGTAGAACTACAAAGTGCACCTGTATAGTAAGTGGAGCTGATAAAATGGACAATGAGCGTAGAAACAAGGATCATAATGTTATGCCTGATTGGTAGCAGCCAGAACAACAGCAACAGAATACAGTATTTGGTAGATACAGTATTCCAGCAGAAGAATAAAACCTGTCCATAATTATTTCCCACTTGATTGTGCTGTTTTATCTTTATTCAACTGCAGACAGTTTATCCAGTTAGTGAAGGGGGCCATAGTTGTTTGGGGGGGAGGGCCAAGCAGATCTGATTATCATCTGCTTAGCTGTAGTGAGATGTAATACATAATCTTGTAGTATTTGGCCAAGAGGCAGCATGTACAAATTAAATAAGAGTGGCCCTAGAATTGGACCCTGGGGGACACCACAAGCCACAGGCACTCTCTCAGAAACATGATTTTCTATTTCCGCAAAGTAGGTCCTTCCTTGCAGGTATGAAGTGAACCATTTTAGGACAGTTCCTGAGAGACCAACCCACTTCTCAAGTCTATCTGTGAGAGTTTTATGGTCAGTGGAATCAAAGAAGCATTGGCGATCTAAAGACAAGCTTGACCCTACTTTACTGGTTCACATTGACTTTAAATAATCTTAAAAGGTCTCTAAAATGTAGAATACCTCGTGCAGCAGAGGTGAAGTTGTAAAATTACCCTGCATGCACATTGCTGCTTAGGTAGCCTTCGACTGGTCACTAGGGGGCACTTTAAAGCAGGCCGTCAGCCAGTTTGGTTGAATTGTGTGGTTAAACAGACTACATATTTAAAAGCATGGGAGCTAGAATTGCTTACTGCTTAGCGAGCGTATATCTGAATGTGGATATCAAAATTAAAATAACATCCATTTTATTTAACTTCTCAGCATTTTTTAAATCCAGTTTTTATTCCCTCTGCCCAGAAATGCTTAGTAGGCCAAATTGTTTTGCTTGCTTGGTTAATTTGATCACGAGTGACCTGCGTCCATCTTAGAAAAGCAGATTCTATAGTGTTTTTATCATCCATTAAACTAAACAGTCAAGCTCAGTTCAGAATGAGGCTATGCTAAGCTATCACATCACTAAACACATTTTGTTTCAGATACATTGAACTTAATACGTTTTTAAATATAACTCCAATGTCTATATATACAGTTTGTGTGCCCCTGATCAAATGGCATGTAGTTTTTCTAGGTGTAAGCAAGTTAACAAATCCTCTTCTGCTCATTTTTACGTGTTTTGCTAAATTTAACAAATTGGAAAAACATAAAATGTGGTCTGTGCAAAAGTTATGGCACATTTTGTACTGTTTGTCTTTTGTCCAACATGTTAAGCTCAGTAAATAAACAGAAATTGTGCACTAAAATTTGCAGAACAATGCCATATTGAGGTGTGTTCCCTGTAGAGGTTGTGCTAACTTGTTTCGACTTACCATGTAATTTGACTAGGGGTGCACAAACTTTTTCCATATGTTGATGTGACTTTGTGACTATAGCCCTAAAGTTTTCTTGAAACCAAGAAGTAGCCGAACCACGTGTTTCTGTGTTCTATGGTAAGACACTCGGATAATTTATAATGAAAATCTGAAAAATAATATGACTCAATCTACGCTGTTGTTTCTGGCACGTGCAGGCCAGTTAATACTTCTGTTCTCTTTAGTCTTAGTGTAAATAAACTCCTTAAGAAAGAAACAGTGGAAAAAATCGGACAGTTAAGTAAAAATAAATGAATAAAGTGATGTCATAATTGGCTGCCATCGTTAAAAGTAGATGATGCCATAATGAGCTGCCATGAGGGGGGGTGATGTCATAATGGGCTACCATCAGCAAAAATAGATGTCATAAGCAACTGCCAATGAGTGGAAAAAGATGGTGTCATAGTGGACTACCACTGTGGGGGCAATGTCATAATGGACTACCACTGGGGGAAAAGATGATGTCATAGTGGACTACCACTGTGGGGACAGTGTCATAATGGACTACCACTGGGGGAAAAGATGATGTCATAGTGGACTACCACTGTGGGGACAGTGTCATAATGGACTACCACTGGGGGAAAAGATGATGTCATAGTGGACTACCACTGTGGGGACAGTGTCATAATGGACTACCATTGGGGGAAAAGATGATGTCATAGTGGACTACCATGATGATGTCATAGTGGACTACCATTGCGGGGGATGGTGATGTCATAGTGGACTACCACTGGGGGGGAAAAGATGGTGTCATAGTTGATTACCGTTGGGGGGATGATGATGTCTTATTGGGCTACTGTTGGGGGGGGGGCAATTATGTCATAGTTGGCTACAATTGGGGGGGAGGAAGATGTTGTCATAGTGGTCTACCATTAGGGGGGAATATGATGTCAAAATAGCCATGGGGGGGGGGTGATGTCATAAAGGGTTGCTATCAGTTATATTAGTTACTTTGCATTTAAACTTAAGACGAGTTAAAAGGTGCTTTTGAGAACTCGTGATTGAGCTCTTTATATGTTTTTGTGTTTTGTAGAGTATATAGAACAGATAAAGTCTGGTGATGAAGATTTTGAGACGTTGGCCTCTCGGTTCAGCGACTGCAGCTCAGCGCGGAACGGAGGAGACCTAGGCATGTTCGGCAGAGGTAAAACTCATACAGTCACACTACAGTACGTATGTATATGTTCTGTATTCTTTACTGAGAACATTTCTGAGGGTGTAACGCTTTGAGTGCAGTACTGAAAAACTGGGTGTGAGAAACGTGAGCTGTGAAACTGCTTTTGTCAGCGATCAACCCTGGCATCTGGGTGCAGCCTGCCAGAGTACAGTGGGCGGGGGTGTTTTGGGGCTTATGCTATGGACACACTTTTTTCTGAAGAGCTTATAAATTCTAGCGGCTGTGATTTTTTTGGGTTTATTTTGTTAGGCTCAGAGTTAGAGCTTTGTGGAGTCAAGAACATTTTAACAGTAAATGTCCAAAATTTAATTGAATCCTGATCTCGGAATTTAAAATCACATCACACCTGAAAATATCTTTAGTTTTATGTCATTATACTCATATATCACATAGGATCTGAGTAACTCCACTGATTTGTTCAGAATCTCTGTATAATTTGGTGGCCAAGATGTAAACAGAGTGATTCAGAGTGGTTTGGTGTGAAATGGTTCAGATGTCTTTACAGTGGTGGTGATAGGAACCAGGGGTCGCCATGACTACAACACAAATATAGAAATTTTATTTACTATCCAGAACCACCAGTGAACCTACACAAGTCTTCTGGGTTTATATGGAATGTCGATGATGGAAAATCTGAAATAATACGTTTTCTTCCGGTGCCACTGCTCGCTGTGCAAACCTCACCCTCACAACCTGACCCCACTGATGCTGCTGCTGCTGCTGCATGAACTAAACTAATCAAATTAATCATTGGCTCCACCTGTTTTCCCCGTTTTTATACTACAGTACTTTATACTAACAATGTTTACTATCCGGTGTCGACCAGAGGAGGATGGGTTCCCTTTCTGAGTCTTGGTTCCTCTCAAGGTTTCTTCCTGTTTCTCTTAGGGAGTTTTTCCTTGCCACTGTCGCCTCTGTTGACGCTCATGGGGGCTCAGACCCAGATTTCTTTCTGTAATGCTGATTTCCTTGTAAAGCTGCTTTGTGACAACACCTGTTGTAAAAAGCGCTATATAAATAAACTTTACTTGCTTGACTATTTTGCCTTACAACACCCTGCATGTATCCCTCCACCATGAATGGAGTTTTAAAATATGTTTTAGGATGAAAATCTTCTTAAAATCTTCATAAAACAGTGTCTCAGTCATCAGGCAGTGAATTCATAACCATGTCATGTAGTAACTTTCTGTGAGGGAGCTTTTAGAGGTGGACGTCTGGTTCCTATCACCACCACTGTGAACAGTTCTGACTCGGTAAGTTTCTCTAGAAAGGAGTGTTTCACACCAAACCACTCTGTTTACATCTTAACCACTTAAACATGGACAGTACCTAGATTTTATTAGATTAAATGTTTTCTTTGCAACAGGTCAGATGCAGAAGCCGTTCGAGGAAGCCTCCTTTGCGCTGAAAATCGGAGAAATGAGCGGCCCCGTGTTTACCGACTCCGGCGTCCACATCATCCTCCGCACAGGATAACTCACCAAGCATGCACACTCTCTCGCTCTTTCCCTCCCTTTATTCATCCATCCATCTCTCCCTCCTTCTCCTTAATGTAGGATTGTTTTCTGAACTTATTCTCAAACTCAAACATACATACAATAATGGTTCTTTTCCTGAAATGCCTCTAAATGATGTTACCTGACATTTTGAGCCTTTTTTTATGGTAGCAAGCCGCATAGACCAAACTGTTTGGATACCTGCATTCAAGTTAATGGTTTAAAAAAAAAAACGCTCATACCAAGCGCTGGTTGGATGATGTTTGTTTTTTTTTTGTTTTGTTTTTTTTTAATAAAATGTACTGCATCTTTCTCTTCATTATGATAGCTAGTTCACGTTCAGTGTCAGAAATTACAGCTGCAATGACATCATCCACCAGCGCCTTAGCGCCTCAGCGCCTTTTTCTTCCAGCTATGTCATGATATTATTCCTCTGTACCATTAACCTCATCGTTACAACGTCAAAATTACATCAAATGATAAATAACGACCAATAAAGACATAAAAATGACAAATAAATACAGGTTTGATTTGTGAATTGCCTTGTACTAATATAAAACCCTGCATGCAAGAAATGGAATCTGTGCTAGTTGAAATATTCCCTTGTGCCCCCAGACTTGCACTGAAATGCACTGAAAGTCATTTAATAGCAAGTGCTTACAATTTGTCTTAAACTAGATGGATTTATATTGAAATCTAAAGGCTGAAGTTTTCTTGAAACCAGGAGGTAACCTCAGTTATATGACTCAAACTATGCTATTGTTTCTGGTACGTGAAGGCCAATCGATACTTTTCTTCACTTTCATCTTAATCTGCGTGAAGATATGCCTATAAAAGCCGTTGCAGATTTCAAAGAAAAGTGTTTGTGACAGTTTTTGATCAAAACTTTATTGTTTTTCACAGATCTTATTAAAAGTGTTTTGTTCCATGATTTATAATGGTGCATAGGCCAGTAACCATGCTAGTGAGCACAGGGCTGATAGAAAATGCACAGACTGGCGTTTTACGTCCTCAGGACGTGATGTAGAGCACACAAGTCAGGGCGTAGAATGCTTGAGACACTGGATGCGAGGACTGCACACAGACTGGACCACGGAGCAAGATACAGACTGGCCAAACCGTACTGGAGCTGCAGTGCCTGGAGAAGGGAAAGAGAAAACACCCACTGCATACATGGAGGACCAAAAGACAATCGTAGACTTTTTCTTAGGATCTTTCTCAAGAACAAATTTAAGAACCATCTTAGAAAGATATTAGTGACTGAGGCCCGTTCTTATGAACTTCTTAGCATCTTAACCTTTGCAAGTTTTCTGTTAAGGACAAGAGCACACTTTGTAACATGAGGCACAGTGTGATCTGCGTGTGTTTCAGTGTTTCTGATTTATGAATTGGTGTGATTAACCTAAAGTGGAGATGAACTGCAACTTTCATTTACTTAAGTTTTGCGAGAATTTCAGGGCTGATAAATTCTTATCCAAATTTTAGATACAGTTTTTTGGTGTGTACATTTTTTGTGTGTTAATTATAATTTTTTTATTAGATTAAATAAAATGATTAACATGTTTTTAATTAGTTTTTCTTCTATTAAAAAGTAACAGGCAGAGAAAATGGTGAAATATAAGCCAATGTAAAATCGAACGCTCTCTTCCTCATAGTCGTTTTCTCAGGGTTGGCCAGTGGTTATAAAGTATTTGAACTTGAGCACATTCAGAGCTCTTTGAAGGAAGTGTATCAGTTTACCACTGCAGAGTATATCCTGATGCTCAATGTCAAGTGAATCATGACGCTCTTCAATTTCCTGGTATCATACTAACCACGTGTAAAAAAACTGTCTGGACCTCCTGGCTTTTTTCCAAAATCACCTTTGAACAGGACATGAGGGCATAGAAAAGAAAGCTTAAGACCACCACTTTCATTCACTCGCAACTGACCAAGACTAACTGCCTCAGTGCAGTGACTCCACAGACCTCCACTTAGCACAGGTGAGTCTTTGTTTTCTTTAATTGTACTAAATAGATATTTAAAATTGCTGATAATTAACGTTAATAATAATAGTTAAGAAACTGCTGATGGGTGGTGTTTAGATAATACACATTTAAATACATAACTATTTTAGTTTGGAATATATTGATACAATTTATTTATTTCTCCAGGATCAAGACTCCACTATGATGGTGAGGATATTTTTATTCATAATAAGCACTTCTACATTATGACCGTTAGCTGGCCTGACATCTGTGGAAATAAATAAGTGTTATTTTCCGAACATTACACCTTCTTTCTCCTGCTTTCAGCTGCTGTTGACTCTAGTGCTCCCCCTGGTGGTGCAGTCGGCCCCTGTCTCACTGCCTCAGGATTGTGAAGATATTTACAGTAATATCTCTCAGAACACTGGTGTCTACACCATCTACCCAGGAGGACCTGATAAACCAGTGCAGGTTTACTGTGACATGGGCTGTGATGAAGACCGCGGGAGGTGGACAGTGAGTGGCAAAGTTTAATACTGAATTAAAATGAGAAATATTGAGATGTTTCTTGATCCTGCTTCAAAGAACCCTCAGAAATATGTGGGCTCAACTTTTCCCTTCCCCAACTCACCTGCTCCAACTCATGAAGGTCTCCATAATCAGTTGATGAGCTGGGTCAGGTGTCTTGAGGCTGGGAAAAGCTGAAACTTTGTAGGGTCCTCAACAAAACGATTAACAGACACTGGCACCTCGAAAACTTTAACATAAGTACTTTTCTATTTTCTCAGTGCTTCATATGCACTCTCACTCAAGGGCTATGTTTACATGCAAAGATTTTTGCCAATCTGATTAAATTCTTTTCCGATTACAGATTAAAACTGAGGTGTTTACATGCACACTACAAGTTATCTGATCCAAAGTTACAACCCATGCGTGCAGAACCACTTAAAGTAAACTTTGCCATGACAGCGAACATCACGTGAGTCCAGTCAGAGTGAGATGAGCAGCAGTGAGCAGTGCTTGTGTTTTTAATTGCTTTAAAATGATGTCAGACTCAGGAAAACATTATTAACGGATTATTAGGCTGCATGTAAACGTGGCTATTGCTGTCTCTTTTAGGTGATTCAGAGGAGAACGGATGGCAGCGTGAATTTCTACAGATCCTGGGATGAGTACAAGAATGGCTTTGGGAACACAAGTGGTGAATACTGGCTAGGTAAATTGAAACAAACGATGACTGGTGTTGTAGGTGGACTCATAAACAGTTAAAAAAAAAAAACAGGTGGATGATCTGAATTCTGCCTTTACAGAAATATAACTTGGACTGAATACAGATACTTAATTTCTGTATCCTGAATATGTATTCCCAATACTTTTACTCCGTTACCTCCCAATCCTGAAAGCAACTAGATAAGTGTGATGACGGCTGCGAGAGCCGGCAGGAAGGCGGGGCCCAAACACCCAGCAGCGACGAACCTCGGCCAGGACGGCAGGGAGAGAGCCGCGAGTGGGGAGGGGGCGGAGTGCAAAGCCCGAGCTCCGCCGAGTGACCCCAGTGACGTGAGTGGCAGCAGGACGAGAGCTGGCAGCTCGGCTGCCCAGGACAAACGTAAGGTGTAATAAAGTGGCCTCGCTGCGGAACAGGGGGCGGGGCCCGGGCGGCGGAGCTCTCGTGGCTGTCATTGTTGGGGCCCGGGGGGGGGGATGCCCCAATAAGATTTTCAGTTAGTTACTGTAGTATTTTTGCCTTAGTACGCTTTGCATTTTTCATGGCTTCCAGTAAACTTACAGCACACAGAACGCTGAGAATCTTTTATTAACATGCTAGTATATTTACTAGCTATACATTACTGCTGTAGGAAACAATGTGAATGATGTTTTTGATGACAGGTCTGCAGAACATCTTCCTTATTACCTCAAGAGGTAAATATGAGAATTTACATGGAGAATTTTGATAAAGGGAGCGTTTACGCCCATTACACCTCCTTCTTATTGATTCCGAGACATACAGGTACAAGCTGCATGCCTCTGGCTTCATCAACGGAGGAGCAGGTGAGTGAATTAACAGGTCATCATTGGGACCTCATGCAAAGGGTTTTTTGCAGTTACTATAATTGGGTGTCGTTCTAAAGTATCATGCATTGAAAACATAATGCCTTTTCTAGGGGAATCGCTGTTCTATCACAACGACAGGGAGTTTGCAACTTATGACAGGGACACCAATGGCTGCGCAGTCAGCAATTCTGGAGGATACTGGTTCAACAACTGCCTCGTGTCCAACCTCAACGGCCTGTACAAGTGGGGACCTTCAGCTCCACAAAATGCGGCAATCGTTTGGTGCAACGGAAAAGGCTGTAATTACTCTCTCAAGACCGTGGTGATGAAGATTAAATGAGCAGCTTAAGAACATGTCTAATGAGTAGCTTAGGGCTGAAGACATATCATATCAATACTATTACAAGAAATTCTGTTGTCTCCAATATAAACTTCTAATGCAGAGAGAAAAGCTTTTGGGTTTTCTAGATGTGTGGTAGTTACTATATCTATCTATAATCACATCATATTCCAAGGTTACAAATTGAAGCTTTGCATGTATTGCACTGTTTGTTTAAATGTATTGGTGGCTGTTTACAGTTAATGTTTTATTTTAATCTTTGTGTCTATTTTTCTTCTTTAAGAGTTTGAATAAAAAAGCTATAAATAACTTTGCCTATTGACTTATTTATTTGCAATTTATAAAGGCACACAAATTACACACGCAATTAAAAATGTCTATAGAAGTAAGATTAAAGTATATATACAGTTGAGGCCAAGTGTTCACATACATGCGAACTTTGTTCACATTAGATGTCATTTTGAAGCAAATAGTGAGAGACAGATTAATAATAATTAATAATTAACAGCTTTAATTCACAGTATCAGATTTCCAGTGGTTTAAAAGTTTCCATGTCTCCTTGTTTCTTAAAACAGAAATGCATATAATGACATTTATAAGTTTCTGATTGACCAAATCTCTTAATAATGAGTTCATTTAAGAGTGCACCTGTATTTAGTAGTTGTATGTAAGGGCCTACCTTTAGAACCAGTGCATTTTTGTCTGTAATACTGCAAGTGTGGGGTTCAATATAAGGTGGGTGGGTCATTCTTGACTCACGGTCTGGATGTTGTTTTTGTTTTCCCAGCAATGTGACCTCCCACCCAATCACAAGGCAGAGTGAATATACATAATAATAAACAAGGAATATTATTTTCAT